AGTAGGCAGCGCTAAGGGTCACATACTGAAAAGAGCACGGTCTTGGGTGGCGCAAGCTGAAGACACAGTTAGACTTGTATGCAGTTGATATATTTGGGCGAGGAGAGGAGTCAGAGTATACCAGCGAAACGACAGACTTGTGTAGGGTTCTGATCATATCGAATCGTGAGTGCAAGGACTGGTCGGCGGGTGCTGCAGAATCAGAAGTTCTCAACTAATGATTCATGACAGTTCCCGCCCAAGATGATGTGATTATTTATACAGATGGCTTTGTGTTGAGGGGCAAACACAGTGCATGGGGGTTCATAATAAAACAGAATGAACGTCATTTAGTGCAACAAAGCCTGGCGAATACCACAACTTCTAGTTTGAAAATGAAGGTGGAGGCAGTCACTGCTGCCTCTCGCAAGCTGGAGAACCAGCTATACACACATGTCGTAACTGACTCGCTGGGCATGCTGAGAAAGGTATAAATAGGTATGCGCCGTAAAGAGTGGCAAGCATTGCTTCAAAGGTCTAAGTAGTTAGCGGTTTTTTTTTTTTTTTTTTTTGAAAATTTTCCATGTTATGCCGGTGTGATAAGAAACAAACAGGCCGGTAGATTAGCGGATTCTGCACAATTTGGTGGTGAATTGATGTATGACAAGCTAGCTGTTGTAAGGCTCCTTTGGGAGAGAGTGAACAGTGCTGAGGTACAAACAGATCATTGGACATTGCGGTTTGAGAAGAATTAAGCTACGAGGAGTTACCAAGTGATTTGGCTGACGTTCAGCACTCAAAGGAAAGGTGAGAAAAATATACAATTAGGCAGTTTCTGATGCCACTGAAACTGGAACACTTTGCTTGCTGTTGAAGATGGTGACGGAGCACTTATGGAAATGTCCTGAGTGCTGTGATGTCGATTCCTTATTCAACATTATATTTAAAAGTACTGACTGTATTTCGCAGATTACATTTTTAGGTAACACCCTACGATGGTTTTGTAAAAACTGTCCACGTAGAAAAGCAACGGAACAAGATCAGTGTTGCCACTTTGGATGTCTTACATCCAGATCTAGATGTTTTCTCATTGCCTCTAGATGGTGTTTTTGACGTCTAGATGGTAAATGTAATTCTAGATGTGTTTCATTAAGGGGTCACTACGCCAAAAAAAAAATTTTATTTACTGAGTTAAAGCAATATTTTTTAATGGTCATTTAAAGGGATACTTGTTAATATATTTGCATACAATCATGACACTTTAAGTGTGATAAAATCATGGTTGTCATGGCAATAGCCGCCATCTTGTTGAAAAAAAACCATGTACTTAGAATCCTGAAAATTCAAAAACAAACATACGTATTAAAAAAAGATTATAGATTCATGACCCTTTATCGTATTTAGAGGTACAGGCGGAGTTTATTTACTTTAAACATATTTTTAAATATTTGTCATAGAAATTTAAAATGTAGGTTTATTGAAAAAGTCAAAAAAATCTTGCATCATGATATAATAATCAAATTTTAAAAAACAAAAACTTTTTAAAATCTAATTTTGACAAGACTAGTCCCTATAATATTGTTTAAGAAGTAGCCATGCTAACTTTCATGTTTCTAGTCAGTATATTAGTTAAGATTTGATCATTTCACACACCCAATAAACAGAAATATAGAGATGTGATAAAACTGTCTTTTAAACTTTTTTTTAATCTTTGAAAAGTGCATGGGTTGGTGCCTTTAGTATTAAATTTTCAAAGCTCAATGTTTACAAATGACACAAGTTTTGTGTGTAATTTATTCTACTAATGCCAAACTTTACAAAAAAACGAACACATTGAAAAAGTCATATTTTTGTCATAAATGTGAAAAAATGCTGTGTAGTGACCCCTTAATAGAGATATTTTATAGATTTTTTCATTCAATATCAGTTTCATAGTTACTATATGAAATATTTATTGCACAATATGTGTTTCGGTCTAGGCACGTACACTGTGGTAACTGCGATTACTTTAACTTTGAACTCAGTAAATGCTCAACAATCTGGCAGCCCCGGTACTGATTAAGAGCGCACGTTAATCATACCAACTTTGTTTGAACTGTATCTTCACTGTGTTGTGAATTATAGCTGCGATGCTGACTTGGTTTTTTTTTTTTTTTTTTTTTTTTTACAATTTCTCACCTTCATATATGTCTTTCACTTTGAAAAACCTTTCAGCGTGCCAAAAGTAAAGCAGTATGAGCAACAATTTAGGAAAGAGTGGCTGCATGATGACATAATTAAAGACTAGGCGACGGCAGTTCCTGGGGATACGACGAAGGCTCGTTGTGAGCACTACAAGCGTGAAATTTAAGCGAAAATACAAAACTTAAAGAGTCATGCAGAGACTTCTTCTTCTTCTTCTTCTTCTTCTTCTTCTTCTTCTTCTTCTTCTTCTTCTCTTCCACCTTGTACCTCATCGAAGTGTTGAGGGGGGTGGGGGGGGGGGGGAGATGTAGCATTCGTTGATGAGCTCTGTCAAGAGCACTATAAAGACTAAGGTTCCTTTCTGTGAGGCTGTTCTTAATGCCATCAGAGACTAAAAAGCATAAAACTGCAGTTCCAGGCACTGTTAACATAAAATAAAGAGAACAACTTAAAGAACGCGCTGTCAAGATTTCCTTGTCTCATTATTCAAGAAACTGAAACAAAGACTTCCTGAAAATCTAGATGTATTACAAAATATTTCGCAACATACTTTAGCCAGTAAAGGACATACATAAATATTGTAAAGTTATGAAATTGTTAGGGGCTAATGATAACAGTGTGGCTGAAGCAGAATGTCAGTTAACCAAAATAAACTTGGTTGACTGGACAAACTAAACAAAAACTGGAGTGTTTTAGAGTAAAGTGAGACAATTTAAAGCTGCCCCAGGAAACAGTCTATTCAGTAAGCTCTTTGAGTGTGTCATGACTGTCATACTACCCCATTCAAATGCTGAATTATATCAAATCTGACGTAAGAAATATAATGAAACCTGACTTCTTAAATTATATCTTGAAAATAAAATTTGGCTTGATGAGAATGTAGGAAAATGCTCTTCAACTTATCAGCTCCCTGATTGTGTATTAAAATAAATTGGAATAGCTAAAGCATACTAGAGTCATTTTGGATCTGAAACTTCAACTTCATCATCCAAGCTAAGTTTATCCTGTGGATTTTGTGAGACAGACATCAGTGAAGATGAGGACATGGTTCTATAGGGTAAGTCATATCAATCATCACCAGGTGCCTTGCCGACTGGCGTGGGCGATCATGCCTCTCCACAATCTGCGATCTGCTGCAGTAGGTATCAGTTCGTGTGCCGACACACCTCCATGCCATACAACAAGACTGTTAAGAATCTTCTCTCGTTATCTTCCTCTATCCCTCCTTCCACAGATCTTTTTAGTGGTCACAACATGTTCTATTTTCCCTCTTCTCATAACATGGTCGAAAAATGTTGACTTTCTCCTTCTGATGTTTGTGGTAAGTTGTCATCGGGATCCCGCCTCTTTCAAAACCTCTTGGTTGCTTTTTTTTTTTTTTTTTCTGTCCAAGGTATTCTAAGCATTTTACTGTAACATCACATCTCTGAGGCCACAAGAAATTGTTTGGCCTGCCTACCGATTGTCCAGGATTCACAACCATATGTTAAAATTGGATGTATGTAGCAAGCAAGAATTCTTTTTCTCTCTCAATTACAATGATATATTGCACAAGATGTTCTTCATTTGATAAAATGTAAATTTTGCCTGTCCTATTCTGTTTCTTATCTCAGTTATGCATCTTCCATCTGATGTTATCCATGTGCCCAGATACTTAAATTTCTGTACTTGTCCCAAAATAACACCATCGACTTTTATTACACATTTAGGAATATATTGTTTCTTTGATACCACCATTACTTCTGTCTTCACTTTATTTAAACTGAGGCCCATTCTTCCACTTTCAAACACCACGATGTCTAACATTTCCGGTAGTTCTTTCTGACTTGTTGCTATCAAGACTGTGTCATCAGCACAACTTAAATTATTTATATTGTGCCCACCAACCACAATTCCGGGCATATCAATTAAAGGGTTCTTAATTTATAACGTACCCCAAACACGAAATTCCCGTGGAAAATCCACAGCTGACCTGACAGTCCATTATTTAAAGGGGTGTAAGTGTGCTGTTGTGTTTTTTTTTTTTTTTTTTTTTTTTTGAGTGTTCATCTAGTGTCTTTTAATCCTAACCCTAACCCCAACCCTAACCCTAAGTTTAAACTTGGGTGTAGATAAATCGCGAGAAACTACAACCTGAACACCCTAGACTTTATTGAGAGTGTCTGCCGTGACGTTGTCGTGTCGTCAGGGGTAAGTTATAAATTAAGTACCAATTAAAGTTCTCATTATATATTCACTGTATATTAAAAACAAATCAGGTGACAGTACACATCCTTATCGCACGCACCTCTTTATGCTTTAAAATGTACCTAAACAGTTGTTAATTCTTATAGATGCTGTTTGCTGTCAATACATATTCTTTATTATTCGTATATCTTTTTCATCAATGTTTAATTCACACAGTCAAATGCTTTTGTATAGTCTATGAAGCGTACAAATCAGTCTTTACTTCTATAGCTCTTTCTGACAATGTCCTTAGGATGTAAATGGCATTGTTTGTACCTTTTCCTTCTACAAATCCACATTGTTCATAGCTGATTTCTGTGGGTTAATCATATGTATTTTGTGACTGTTTCATTTGGATGTTATTTCCAAATGTTTCCCGCGCAAATCTAAAAATTTCTAGATATTTTAAAGCCATTTCTAGATATTTTCTGTCAAAGAAAAGTGGCAACACTGTACAGGATTGTTTTCAAAGACTTGTGCTAAAACAGAGCGGGCGATTTGACAGGGCAGTTGGAATCAGTATTAGTAATACTATTACTACTGTTAGGATTGTTGTTGGAAATATATTTCTCTTTGACATTTAAGCCATCAGTTAATTAATTTCCTTGATAATGGCATATATGGTAGCGTATTTCGTATTTTTTATTTTAATATTTTACATACATAAGTTAAGTTAGTAACATTTTGTTAAGTGTGTAATCCACGAGAAATTATTTTGTCTGTGAGAAGAAATTTTTTTTTAAATGAATGATAAACTTAGATTGACGTCGGTGACTTTATTTATTTATTTTTTAAGCTTCCTAATATTATGATGGCAGCAATGGTAATTTAATTGCATTAAGTCTTATTCTGGAAGATTTTACTTAATTTGATTTTGAGCTCATGAGCTGATGTTGCTAGTCACTCACAATCACCAGCATTATGGTTTGTGGTTCTTTTGCCCCTCTACTACAGCGCACTAAAACAGTCTGACTATGGAGGGCATGGCAAGAGACACAGACTTTCACTGGGGCATATTTCTCAATGACTCGATGAGGATGCTCAGGAAGATGGAGAAGGGCTGGGTCCGAAGGCAGTGGTTGGTGGCTCTACAGAATTCACGGTTGACATTACTGACAAGGATGTTTTATTTTCATGCCAGGACATGTGGGCGTGGGGCTACAAGGAAATGAGCAAGTTGATACGCTTGCAGGTAAGGCTACTGTGAAAGCCGGACAAGCCATGGACCAGGCTGATGTACTGAATGCTCTAAGAGAGTTAATACGTTGGCATGAACCAACTAAGAATTGTGAATCTGCAACTATGGTCAGACTGCAAGAACAACATGTTAAATGGGGTGTCGCCAAACAAGAACACTACGTGGGTAGTCAAAGAATAATAATAAACCAACACAGAACTGGTGTCGTTAGCCACTACACGCTGCGGGATTTACTGAGGAGGGGATCTGAGCATTTATGGACTGAGTGGTTTGACGTGCAATGAGGATAATCTGTCGACTAACTGACTAACACTAGAACCGACACTCCACCAACATATGGACAGCAGACAGGTGCCAGTAATGCTCTTTACAAGCCTTTGACAGATCTTCGATGTGATGTTCAGGTTTTATAAAATGACAAGTGTCTCAGTATTTTTATATATACACACACATGCACATATATTATATATACATACACACATATTTAAATCTGTGATATTCTAAAAATTGATTCTTGTTATTAATGCTTTCATCATGAATTTAGAACTACAAGTCATGCTTCTGTTCCCTAATTATCTTTTTTTTTTTTAGACTGTCTATTTAGCAAGTTAGATTGTATCAGCCTCATTGGTTATTTTAAGTGGAGAGGTTCCACCTTTAAATGAAACAAAACATGACTGATGAACACATATTTTTTATTAAAACACCCACAGAGTTCTCAGGAAAATCCAGGGTCGGTCTTAGAGAGCAGTTTGGACCAGTCTGACTCAGATCAAGAAGATGCTGAGAATCTTGATCTGTCACCATTCACGATAGACTGGTAACATGTTTTTACTGTTAGTCACATGGCAGTCTAGTGTAATGTTTTTCATGCTGAAATGTTTGTTTTTTGTTTTTTTTACATTAGATTGGGATTTTTTACAATGAAATACTTAAAAACTGTGAAAGAAACATTACCAGCCTAGGTCTGATCTCACTAGAGGTGTTGCCTTATGCGATTAATTGTGTGTACAATTACTGATTTGGTCTGACTACTACTTCCATTGACAATGAACTACTTCTTCTTATTCTTGTTCACCAGCTGTAAACTCCAGCAGAAAGTTATGTTTGTTTGTCCACTTCTGGACTCTAGTCCAGTTCCAGAACCTGATGGTTGCGTGCGCATCTGTTTTACAGTTCTGATGATGATGAACTGCATTTCTAGTGTCTAGACTGTTTGTGTTGGAACTTCTGACTGCTGCCTTTTGCATTTACTCCCCTGTATCGTTAGATTTGCTAAGACTGCAGTCTGTGCCAGTATTTTGTGTGATGTACATTCTGTATGGTTTTCATTGGCACAGGGACAGAGCGACCATGAAGCTGGCACTGCGATTACCTGAATCTCAGTGTCTGTATATGCTATGCTGAATCTTGAACTGTCTCCTTGTACATTCTGGAGCCCTATTTTAGAGGGAAAAAAGAATAGATCCACTGCCCCCTAACAAGTATGTCATAAAAGGTGACCAATTAGAGATTTGGGTTCTTTATTGATATCCTACTCCAGATCATGTCAGATGACAGTCCAACATTTTAGAAGGGGGCTAAGACTGGGTTTTCCAACTTCCTGATGCTTTTAACGACCCTAAAATATCTAGAACTGACCCTAACCCAAACCCACCTTCATCCCATGAGAGAGTACAGCCTAGGTCGCAAGACTGCATGCAGCCTATCTACCACCCCCTGAAATATTAGACTGTCCGGTGACCTGTAGATTTCCTCTGTTTGGGGTAGGATATTAATAAAGCACCAGGATTTGATAAAATGATATATCTTGGGTCAAAAAGTGCTGATAACACAACTTAGATGTAAACCACAACATGCCAACAGCCTTTTAAAAAGTTGAAGATGGAAGAAAAGAAAGAATGACAGAATTTACAGGGTTAAAAAACTTGGCCATCCAGGCTTTGCATAAGCCAACTGTATCGAGCGTCGCTTGGGAGTTCTCAGGTACTTTGCATCCTTTCTTCAGGGTAATACAGGTGTGTCGAGAAATAGGCAGACAGACTGGCTGGTCCTGCACCTCTTGGTAGTAAATTGATAGATGTAAAGCTAGATGTTTTTCAAGGCCATTTAGGAGCTTGTTGACTATATCACCCACTGAGTGCCAATTGTTCTATACAAAAATGAGTTTGTTCTATACAAATATGATTTTTTCTATAAAAATTTGAGTTTAGCATCATATGCTTGATGAACTGCTGGCATAAAGAAGGGTTCTTTAATTATTTACCTACTGCGTAGGTCATAAAAAGTATTTTCAGTTTTAAAAATATTGTATTCAACAGAGCATTGAATGTGTATCTAACTTTTATTTTACAGGTTGGATCTTGATTTTGTTGGATGTCCCAAGTCATTGGGCATATGTGCACTGCCAGGTAACATGAATGTTGTTGCTCATACTGACAGTATTCATATTCTTTCTAAAATATATCAGCTATTTCAGTTTTTAATGGAAGCTCACTTAATACTATAACCATATGAACTATGAACAAAAAATTTAAAGATTCGAGAATAAACACCCATTACACTCCCCTTCATGACATACAAGGAGATGTAACAATGCTGTCGACATCTCACCCTACAGATGTGCAAAAAATAACTATCTGGCACAATGGAAGCAAATATACGATATACAACGTGTACAGCCCACCTCAGACAACATGCAACATACCAGAACTATACAAGACACAGTACCATAAAACCCTTCTTGTTGGTGACTTCAAAGGACACTCGCCACGTTGGGGTTACCCTGACTACAATAGCACAGGGAAATACATCGAAGATACTTGTGAAACAACTAACCTATTAGTGCTGCAGGACACAGAGTCTACACCTACACTGTTACACAGGGCCCACCTATCTCTCAGCCGACCAGACCTGACCATCTGCTCATCCGACTTAGCAGACGCAAGCTATCCCCAAGTCCTGGACGACATAGGAAGTGACCACAAACCTATACTCACAACTGTAAGCACCACCGCTAAATTACGCTTCAAGCAGAGAACCCGTTGGAATTTCCGAAAAGCAAACTGGAAACTATTTCAGGAAACATCTGACTGCCTCCTGGGAAGAATTGACAATAGCTGTGTGGAAACTTTTTGTGAAGACATTACACAAGCAATCCTGAATGCAGCGTCAAAAGCCATCCCAAGGGGCAGCCGGAAGGCATATAAACCTTTTTGGAATCAAGAAATTCAAAATACTATATCTGAAAGGAATAAAGCAAGAATATTGCTCGAAACTGCACGTTCAACAGAAGCAGAGATCCAATACAATAAAGCATGTGCCAGAGTAAAGCTTGTAGTTAATAAGGCTAAAAGAGATAAATGGACAGAAACTTGCTCCAACTTAGACCTTAGACAGAATGGAAATAAAGCATGGACTTTAGTTAAAAACCTCTCCGGAGAAAGTAGAAGGGTGAACCCAAAACCAGTGAAAGATGGGAGTAAGACAATCACTGAAGACAAGAAGAAAGCAGAACATTTCAATCATTATTTTGCCTCAGTTAACAGAGCAGGTAAGCTGTCAGAACTCAATAGAACTCAGCTCTTTCAGTTGAAGAAACAAGAGAGAGCTCCAACAGCCAGCGACTCCCTTTTTGAAAATGAATTTAGCATGGATGAATTAGAGCAAGCCCTGAAGAAATTAAAACCTAGAAAATCTCCAGGCCCAGATAAGATCCACAACGAAATGCTGCTACATCTTGGCCGGTCTGGGAGAGAAGTAGTTCTTAGGCTTATTAATAAAACTTGGAGGTCAAGCAAACTTTCAAAGGCATGGAGGAATGCATATATCGTCCCCATTCTAAAAACCAAAAAGCCTCCAGATAACCCCAAAAGCTACCGCCAAATATCCTTAACATCATGCTTGGGCAAAGTTGCAGAAAGAATGATAAACAGGCGCTTATATTGGTTCCTTGAGAGTTCTGGTGTTCTATGCCATGAACAGGCAGGCTTCAGAACCAACAACTGTACAGAAGACCAGCTGTTCAGACTGACACAAAGAATACATGATAGCTTTCAGAATAAGAAACACACAGTGGCAGTCTTTGTTGACCTCCAGCAGGCCTATGACAGAGTATGGAGAAAAGGTCTCCTGATGAAGATGATGAGCATAGGAATACATGGCAGATTGTATAACTGGGTGAAATACTTCCTGATAGATAGAACAATCCAGACTAAGATGCACAACGCAATCTCTTCTAAAGAAGTCTTGGAGGAGGGCTTGCCACAAGGCTCATCATTGAGCTGTACACTATTCCTAATCTTTATCAATGACCTGCCAGAACAAATCAAAGCCGAAAAAGCCTTGTACGCTGATGACCTAGCAATATGGCAGAGTCATGAAAATGTGGAAAGTGGAGCCCAAAGACTGAATGGAGACCTTAGAAGACTGCATGAGTACTGCCAAAGATGGAAACTCAAGGTTAACTGTGCAAAGACGGTCTACACAATCTTTACCAAAAGCCACCGAGTAGCAAGGAAGAATGTTAACCTGAGGTTAGACAAACACCAAGTGATGAAAGAAGAGCATCCCACATACCTTGGAGTTACACTTGACCGGCAGCTCAGCCTCAAGAACCATATTGAAAACATCAGGAATAAGGCATTGAGGCGTTTACAGTTATTAAAGAGACTTGCAGGTACATTATAGGGATCAGACAAGGAAACTCTGAGGGGCTTATATCTAGGATATGTTCGCTCTGTGATAGAGTACAACAACTCACTGCTTACAACTTGCTCCAAAACTAACCTAGAGACTCTTGACAGAGTACAAAATAATGCCCTCCGATTAATCTGCGGATGTATGCAGTCTACACCAACTGCTGCATGTGAAATCCATACAAATGTGGAACCCCTCGGGTTGCGGAGAGAAAAAGCCACTTTAGAAATTTATGAAAGATGAGTTAGGAAAAATCGTAACCATCCTAATAGACATCTTGTCGAAAACTAGGAATACAAACAAAGAATAAAGCACAAATCGGTTTTACACTGTGTTAATGAAATTCAGGACAGATACCACCTCCCAGAAAGACGTCAATGAATTCAGAATGTTGCAAGAAACCTACCAACACATGCTCGCTTTAAAGCTCCAGAAGTCCGAACTAAATTGGTAGGCGAGGAAACCAAACAGTCCGCCGACCCAATCGCTCTTATGAACTCATCACTAAAGACCGTTGATTCTTACCCCCAAGAATGGATACATGTCTATACTGATGGATCAGCATTTAAAGCTACCATTAAAGCAGGTTACGGAATCTACATAGGCTATCCCGATGGATCTGTTGAAGAGATTTTTGATGCATGAGGGGAATTCTGTTCAAACTATGAAGCTGAAATAATTGCACTGGAAACATCAGTATACCACCTAAAGACTGTAATGGATGTTTACCCTTCAAAGGTCCAAAATATTGTCATCTTCACAGATTCAATGTCTGCCCTTCAAGCTCTGGAGGGCAGTGAACGCTGCAGAACTGATATAGCCAAGATAATCCTGGATGCTGATCAGCTTATTACCTCATACAACATCAGAATAGTGATGCAGTGGATTCCAGGTCACTCTGCCACACCAGGTAATGACAGAGCTGACAGATTGGCAAAGAAAGGAGCAACACAAGAACAACCACCCACAGCGACAACCCTCCAGACAGCAAAAACACTGATAAGAGCTATAAACAAAGAGACTTGGTTGAACAGATGGGCCATGGGAGACACTGGAAGAGAGGTTTATAGACATATGGCTGGTCCTGATCCCAATGACAGCATTAACCATCTAACAAGAAGGGACCAGGCCACCATCTTCAGACTTAGAACGCAGCATACTCCACTCAATGGACACTCAAACAGAATACAGCCACAACACTCCCCAGAGTGCCAGCTATGTAACTACCCCTACGAAACTGTTGAACACCATCTCTTTGAGTGCCCAGAACTCAGTGAGACAAGAAGAACGCTACTCCCTCCGAGACCAGACAAGTGGAACACCTTGTACGGAGGAAAAGAACAGCTTGTGAAAACATGCAAATTCCACTACATGGCATTGGGCCAAAGGGCGAAAGCTCATGCGCCGCTGTATTGATAACAACAACACTCCCCTTCAACCCGCCCTTTACCGCAAAAATTTACAAGGGGGCTAAGAGATCCCTCTAACCATATATGTATAGATCTCTTTTTAGTTATTTGTTTATACATCTCTTATTATTTCAAATTTATGATTATTTGAAATTAGCACATAATAATAATTATTATTCTTATTACTATTGCACACTTAACAATACTCAACTCTTTCAGTCCCAGTAATTGGGGCTTCAAAAGCTTTCGATCAAGTTAATAGGAATAAATTATCGAAGGTACTACAGGATTACAGAGTAAACAAACATCTTATTAAACTGCAAGAGTTTGTATGTGAACAGTTAATGCACAGTTAAAAAAATATGGGAATGTCAGAAAAGTTCTACATTAGATCTGGAGTGAAATAGAGGTGCGTTCTGTCACCACTATTTTTCATCACATACATCAACCAAATTTGCAGATTAGTTGACATCAGCGAAGAGGACAACATCTGAGAATTACTAAATGAATTGCTTCTTGCCAATGACCAGGCAATCATAGCTGCAACAGCAGTACAACTACAAGAACATATTAATAGACTCCCCTCAGATTGTGACAACTATGATATGAATATCAGTGTAGACGAAACAGAAGTGATGACATTCTCCAGAAAAGGAAGATACAAATATTATTGAACACCACTTGAAGCAGGCGAAGGATGTCACATATCTGGGGAGCACTTTTTCAGAAGATGGAAGAATTAATATAGAAATCCAACAAACATGCAAGAAAGCCAGTGAAGTTTTCGACCAAATGACACCAATTTTGAAATACAAGCATGTGAATATGGACACTAAAAGTACACTGTTCAACACAATATTCTTACCAACGCTATGCTGTCAGTGTCAAACATGGACACTGTCTTCAGAAGACAGAAGAAATAGTCACGACAGAAATGAAATGTTTCCGTACAATGCTTGGTGTAACGAGGAAAGATTGACTTAGGAATGATGATATCAGGATGAGAGTCGGTACAGAGCCATTACTGAACTTTATAAGTAGACAACAAATCAAAATTGTTTGGCCATGTAACAAGATTGGTATCAAACAGGGCACCAAAGAGAACAATTTTATACAGATACAACAGTAACTAATCCAGAGGTCAACAACACTGAAGATGGACCAGGGAAATTTGGACCAGAGTTTGAAAGTTACTTTATACAAAGTGACCCGAAGTACCTTTTCCTAGGATCTCTTCCTGCTGTGATGCCATGAGGCATTCCAGGAGTAGAGAAAAAAAGACTAGAAGAATAGGACAGAAAGAGTAAAGAAATAAAAAATTTATACCAAATAAAGAGGGATGGAAGTGTTTAAAAAAGTTGCAGGCACACACCACAAAGTGTCTGTTAGATTGTTGCTGAAGATAACCCACATTTTTTAGAGGGACACAAGAAGAGAAAAATCTCATTATGTCATGATAACAGGAATGTTGGAGGGAAAGATAGAAAATGGTGTGGGTCCCTACTCGATGTGTGTGTCAAAAGGGGAGCAGATGTGGGAAGCGATCATCACCTTGTAGTCGCTCTACTACGACTTAAACTCAAAAAAGTTTACACGCAAGTTAAGACACAGACAGCACTTTACAATGTTAACCTTTTAAGAGAAAAAGACATTGCCACTAAATTTATAGTAGAACTCAAGAATAGATTTCAAACCCTATCAAGTGACCCAGAAACTCCAACTACAATCAGCATTCAAGACAGATGGAACCAGATCAAAGAAACATACAAATCAACTAGCAATAAAATATTAGGAACCAGGAAACAACACCACAAAGAATGGATAAGTAGTCAAACCATGGACTATATTGCCAAGCGAAAAAGAATAAAGAGCCTCATAAATCACACTAAATCAGAACGTCAGAAAAATAAACTAATGTTAGAATATAGCGAACTAAATAAAATGACCAAGAAAAGTGCCAGAGCTGACAAGAGAAGATTTATGGAAAATCTTGCAGAAACAGCAGAAAATGCTGCTAAAGCACATGATCTACAAACCCTACACAAAATTACCCAGCAAATTTGCGGAAACAGAAATAACTATCACAGCATACCCATCAGAGATAACCAAGGCAGACTGCTCACCACAGAACAAAAACAAGACATGCAGTGGACTAAACACTTCTCCGACCTCTTGAACAGACCTGATCCTGAAAATACCCCAGAAATTCAACCAGCCTCTCAGGACATTGACATTATTACTGAACCACCAAGCAAACAAGAAATCCTTAAAGATATCCACACTTTAAAGAACAACAAAGCACCAGGCAAAGACAAATTGTCAGCAGAACTTCTCAAAGTAGATCCCAACACAACTGCTAGCATTCTAGAACCATTGTTCAAGGATATTTGGGAAAAAGAAGTGTTGCCTGATGACTGGACTGAAGGAAAAATAGTCAAAATCCCCAAAAAAGGAGACTTAACAGACTGCAATAATTGGAGGGGAATTACTCTACTCTCAGTACCAAGCAAAATATTTTGTAAAATCATCATAATGCGGCTTGAAAAAGGAGTACATAAATGCCTACGAGTGGAACAAGCAGGATTCAGAAAGGGCAGAGGAACAACTGAGCACATCTTCGCCAAACGGAACATTTTAGAACAATGCAACGAATGGCAGAGAAGTATATATATATTAATTTTGTGGACTTTGAGAAAGCTTTTGACAGCGTCTATAGAGACGGTCTGTGGAAAATTTTGCGACATTATGGAATTCCAGAAAAAATAGTCAACATAATTGCTCTCTTCTATAAAGACTTTTCCTGCAGTATAAAAAATTACATCTTTCCCAGTAAAGACGGGTGTAAGACAGGGATGTGTTATGTCATCTCTCCTCTTCAACTTTGTGATTGATTGGATACTAAAGAACACAGTGGACAGGACATTAAGAGGCATACGATGGACTCCATTCACCATGCTAGAGGATCTTGATTTTGCAGATGATATAGCACTCCTATCACATAAACATGAACATATACAAGAGAAAAGTAACAGACTAAACTGCACAGCAGAAATGGTGGGACTGAGAATAAATACAAAGAAAACTAAGATCATGACAAACAGTCCAAACCAACAACCAGTGACCATAAGTAACCAATCACTTGAAAATGTAGAACATTTCACGTATCTTGGCAGTGTGGTGTCCCTACTGGGAAGGACAGAAGAAGACATACAGTCACGTCTGAACAAAGCTAAAGCTGCTTTTGGAAGGATGAGGCAAATCTGGAAATCCAACAATTACTGCAGAGGAACGAAACTCCGACTCTACAAGAGCATCATTTTGCCAGTTCTTCTCTGTGTAGCAGAATGCTGGAGAATGACCAAAAAGGATGCACACAAACTGTCCACCTTCCACTACACATGTCTACGTAGATTTATCGAAATTTTCTGGCCAGATACAATCTCAAACACTAAACTACTTCAAACCACAAACCAAGAAACTTTAGACAGTATGATTACCAAGAGAAGATGGAAATGGCTTGGCCACGTTATGAGAATGACTTCTGATATACCTGCCAAAACAGCTCTCACATGGACACCAGAGGGAAAGAGAAAACAGGGGCGCCCAAAAACAACATGGAGACGAACGATGGAAAGTGACCTGAGTGCGGCATCTTTGACATGGAAAACTGCATTGAAGATTGCACAGGACAGGAAAGCATGGAAAGTCCTCTATGAAGCCTCATGTGCCACTAGGCATAACGAGAACTGATGGTGATGATGATGGAGGGAAAGATAGGCAGGAACAGACCAACAGAGATATTACAGCATGGCTTGGAGGAACGTCAGTATAAAAATTCTTTTTTTTTTTGTCCTCCTGCTTATGCCCTAAAGCGTCACAGAAAAGAGTTTAATGTAGTTTCCTGTGTTTTGCTACTGCGTAGACTGAGTTAATGTAATATTGCATGTCTATAGTGTCTCTTTTACTCCTTTCACCCTTCTCTTTATTGGTCGGCCTCTTGACATGTAGCCTGCTGGTCTCATGTAGTGTATGCTTTAGCTGGCTGATTTGGTTCCATTCTGATCAGATGACAAAACCATTTGATTGTTTAATGTTTTATAAAATTGTTTACTGGTACTGTGCCTACCATAGTTCTTAGTTTTCCGTTTGTGCCCGTATACAAATTATTAGCAGACATAGGACAGAAGGTTGTGTAGAGGAAAGATGATCAGTATAACATGGCGTGCACTTCCAGAAGAAGGAGAGCTATCTACAGTAATCTGAGAAAAGGATGCAGATTATCCGCGCAAAATTAATCGCCAGTTGGGATTTCATCTCAGGTTACTACAACCAGAGACAGTTGACCAAACTAACTTAATGAAAACTGGGAAATTTAGTTGTCTGATATAATGTTTAAATAGGATGAATTCAGGAAAGGTGAAGAAGAAATAAGAGATATGTCGGACATCCACTGGCGTCAGCACTAAGGTGACAAAGAAGGTTGCAGTATGTTGAGTCCTTCCTGAGAAGAAGCTAGCAGAAAATCACAGAACCAGCACTGAAATAGGAAAATGATGGATTGAGGAGAGGGGGGCATCGAAGAGAATGCCTAAAACAAACATTACTGAAAGAAGCCAATGGTGCTGGACTGAACTGCATTTATGATATCAGAAGGATTGCACAGGATACAAGGGAATGGAGAACTAGACTGTGTGATATATACCATCATGATAGTGTGATGATGATGTTTTGTTGACCAAATCATTTTTGTTGTGTGCCATTTGGTCACAGAAAATGTTGACCCAACACCATCTCCCTAATACACCTAACTGGCATGTTAGCAGCAATGTTTACTTCTGTTTTACTTAAACATTCTCCAGGCTGCAGATTCAAGAGCACTTGGAGAAGTCTTCTGCATGATCTCCGTAAGTTCAGTTTTTATAGTTGCTTTATTACTACTAGCCTGTGCATTAGTTCTCCCTTCTGTTAGTCAATGGATGAATCGAGAATTGACATAACTGCACTTGAGATATTCCACAGCTGTTCTGGCCCCTCTTCAGCAGCTAACAAGAAGTTCCCATACTGTGCCACTTCCAAATTTGACTTGAATATTGAAGTAAGAATTGACCTCACAACACTTAAGGCCTTCCCATCAGTGTTCTGTCCTCCATCTTCAGCAGCAAGCGCATAGTTTAAGTTCTAATGGCACCAGTAACAGTCTGATTGTCTATCGGTCTCATCTTTTCCTTGAGTGCTGAGCATAAACCAGATCCCTTGGTCACTCCTCGGGGCACTATTCAACTCGGACCGTGATGATTTATATCTCCGCTCTTTCTTTCATTGTCTTTTTGTAAATCTGATTAAAAGATAACCTATCCCTTCCCCTCCATGTTGAAAATTATAATTTTCTTCATGAAATTGGGGTTGACTATTGTCGTATAGCAGTTTTGTCGCGCACCTTTACTTACGGAATATTTTCACAAATCCCTCAGGTGCTCTGAGACAGGGGTGTTTTGAATGGTGGCTCTCGTTCGTCTAGAGGCCTAACCCTCGGTTCAAACTTTCCATTCAACCTGTCTCAGGAATGAGGTGACTCGAGCTCTGACTCCACAGGGTTATTATGAACACTTGGGTACCTCTCGGCCAGACGTCCTCATTACTAATTTGCGCCCAGACTGGTAAACAATGTAACACAGTCGAACAAGTAAACAACAGTGAATATGACAAGACGTGAATACCTTTCTGACTACGACAATTAATTCACCAACAGCAAACCTTTTGACGAACAGAAAGTCTTATGAACTAAAACTGTAATGTATTCAATACAAGAAAGATAAAAGTCGCTCGAAGAACTAGAATGAATGTTCAATTCTTCGGAGAATAAAAGAAAGAGAAAAAGTCTTTCTACAGGGTTACATCCAATTCCGGGATCATCATCGTTGGGAGGTATGAGACAGATTATGAAGGCACATCTGGAGTCAAGCCGCTACAAAGTACTACTCGGACTTATCTAGTTGGATCCTGCAGCTCCGCAGGGTGCCGGAAGGTGGAAATCTGCAAAGTCTCACTTATCAGAAGATCTCCTCACGATTGATGATACCTCTGAGAATGATTAAGGACAATCACTCCCCAGAGACTGGTGGATATAAGGTTCACAGACAGTTCAGCATATTCGGTAATGGCTGATCAGCTCAGGTCGGTTGCTTCCCCGGTGTTGGTTGGTGGAAGATCACGACTGCTCCACGGACGCTTGCTGGATCTTCAAAAATCCTGAAATTAACAAGGCAACACACATGAGCGAACCGTACCCAACGTACCTAGTTAATCACTATCCCCACTACCTCCACATGCTCAGATATAATTGAGGCTAGTCCAAACCATGAAGGTTGGCTACCTCTATCTTGGAATCCGTTCAGTTTCCTAGAGTGAGCACTAGAGTCGTACGTACGTTTCCATTAACTCGAATAGTTTCTGAATTCAGTTCTGTAGCGAAAGCCAGACAGATCTCCATAGTTCCCCATCCCTCTAAATATACCCTCTTCACTAGTTGGAAAGATAAGGTATATGAGATGAAGACAAAACCAAGATCGAAGGAAATATGCTCCGAAGCATTCCTACAGCCGAAGCTTGTTGTGGTTACAGTAGCTCCTAGCAACAGCGGATATGACGTCATGCCTGACCCGAAGCTTCTTGTCGTTCCAAACGGTCCAGCGACTCACCAAGTTCAGAGACCGAATAAAAGATAACAACTAATCATACAAAGTTAACAATACCATAAATACACTCCAGATATGTGGATTGATTGATCCGAAGAGGTTTAAAAAGCCGGCTCGAAGAATTCACCGAGAAATTCCAGCCGAAAGGGCATTCCAATCCGGATCGCTATCTGCCGTCCTCCATCACAGGCGATCGTAGACAAACAGATTCACATTATCAATCTGCTGACCTTACTTACACACACATACAGGCAATGAGCACAAATATTCAATTAACCTTTTAGGAAAACTCACCCATGATAAATGGATAAAGAGAATAAAGAAGCTTGTCTTTTTAACGGTCAAGTGGCTACAAAGTGTAATACGTTTGCTCACTTGAACGGACCATGGAGAAGTGACGTATAAAAATACAGTCCCTATCTACGGTAGTTGGTGTAAGAATATGGCTCAAGTATACAGTGAAGCGGTCAGACAATTTATCTTAATTAGGCGTAGAAAAGGTGTCCTAACGTGTAAATTGACACTAAAAGCCTAAAAGAATCAATCTAAGAGTGATTTATATGGATTTCTCCTATCTGGACTCCCCCACAACAAACGAACTATATAACTACGGTCGGACCATCCGATATCATAGCTACAATGACGATTTTGGGGGTGTTCAGACTGTGGGCCTGCTCAATGAGGTAGGTGTGTGGATTCTGTCATATGACAACTATGTAGAAGTTGGGATGCTATAATGAAAAAACTAATGTAATACATTTTAAAGTCTATTGTCTTATATCTTTTTGTTGTCTTTGCTGTGTACATTAGATTCCCACCCTTTCCTCCAGTCTGATTGTTTGCAGGGTAATTATGTCTTGTTTTTTAAATGCTTGTATCAATCCTTGATTTTATTTAGTAATTGTTTTCATTCCTAGTTTATGATACCAAACAATGGTGGGGTGGGGGGGGGGGGGGGGGGAGCAGTATACTAGGACAGCAAATTGGGTAACACTGAAACAAGTAGAGAGCTTCCTTTTTTTAGGGCTAGAGATAACAACAAATGTTAATGGAAACAGTATCATGGAGATAACATGGAGAACAATCCAAGCAAAGGCGGAATTCATCTACTGATTATTCTCTGTAACATAACATTCCATGAAGTCAGAAAACTATAGCATGCCTGTGAATTGAGCATTGAGTAGGAGCAGACTGTAGGTGGGCTTGTTTTTTCTATTGACTGCTAAGGAAATTCATTGACACTTAGGAAGATCAATATCCGAGTACTAGACATCACCAGTTTACAGAGAGATTTGATTACCCAGATGAAGACTAGGATTGTTTAACTCTTTTGAGTCCCAAGGAACGCATCATACGTTCATAGGTTACTGCTTAGAAGCCCAATGAACGCATGATGCGTTGATTTTACGTCTCCTTTGACTACCCCTTGGGCCTCTGATGCTAAACCCTCTGGGACTCAAAGAGTTAATCATGGTTTAGGAGTTTGGAGAAGGTTAAGAATGTTTAGTACCTAGGTAGAAAATTATGGACGCCTGGTTAGAATGACAAGAAAGATGATCTGTCCACATTGGTGTAAAAATAGTAGGCAGGTATTTCCCGTGCTCTGCAATATATGCTACCTAATTTATGATTATATTATGATCATTATGCTGAAATAGATATATAGAGAAACGTTGATTGCCGATAAAAAAGAAGATAATTAGTCTTGGTGTGATTACATCCACAGAATGTCTCAAACAGGCTGGGGTTGAGGATGTGTTCTGCCTCTGCACACGGGGGGAGTTTCATCTCTATCGTTGTCAAGATCTGCTTGAAAAGGTGATACTGTTTTGCTTATTCTAGCCAAGCTTCTGGTTATAATAAATGATTAAAAGTGTGTTACAGTGGAGGTCTGGTAATGAGTCCTCACCGGGGACCCAAGAAATTGTTCTTCTTAGAAGTTCTTCTTTTTTTTAGATAAGAATTCAAGAAAGAAAAAATGCTGGGGAGAAACAAATTGTTCTTCACAACAGAAATTTGCCACAGACGAGATTGCTTTAAGCGATCTGCACTGTATACGGTCTGTATTGTGAAAAATAGTAATAATGTGTCTGAACATGCGTGTTATAAGACGTAGGGTTGACTTATTCATCTTCAAGTGCAGTGGGTGCCCTGGAACCGACATGATTCTTTATGTCTTTACTTCCTTTAGTTACCACTTTTAGGGTGATGTATGAAATGGGAGTCCTGAGCATAAGAATTCTTCTTAGCATTTTCTGGCTGTAAACGCTGCTTCAGAGTTCTGGCTGTTTATCCACTTCTGAACTTTGGTATTGTTTCAGAGCTCACTGACTGTGTGCAGTCCGCTTTACAGATCTGGCTTACATGTATGCAGACGTTCGGTTTCTGGTCTTTTAGGCAGATGCACGTCGGCTTTGGAGGAAACACCCTTAATTTGTCACCTTGTCTCCCTGTGTGGATTCCAGGGCCCCATTATGAGGGAAAGCAAGAATGGATCCACTGCTTCCCCATCAAACATGTTGTAAGAGTTGACTTTTTTTCGAAGTCAGAGTACATTTGCCTGAGAGGCAAAGAACCATCAATCTGCATACAGATAGGTCAGATCTGTAAAACGGATGTGCATGCAACACTTAAGTTCTGGAACAAGACTAAAGTCCAGAGGTGGATGAACAACCAGAACTCTCTGCTGGAGATTACAGCTGGTGAGCGCAAAGAAGAAGAAGAAGCCTTGTACAAGCAGCTTGATTGGATACAAGTGATCTATTACAACCCTCCCCCAATGGGTCCAGAAACCCTCGCAGGGGGAACAGCCTAAGAATTAAAGGCCCCATGGCTAGTGCACTCATCATAACTTTACTGGCTATGACTCCCACCCCCACCCTTCTTCCGACTCCCATAACTTTCTTACCTGTTCAAGACATTCTCAGCTTTCTTAAAAACCATAACTCCAGTTTCTTAATTATTTAATTTATCATTGTACAGCCATAAACGAGTAGAGAAACTGGATGTAGTGATCTTCGCGTTCACCAGCTGTTGTCTGGTCTGGTTGTTCATCCATCTCTGGACTTTTGTCTTATTCGAGAACCTGAGTGTCAAATGCACATCCATTATACAGATCTGGCTTATTTGTATGCAGACTGTTGGTTCCTCGCCTATCAGGCAGATGCACTCTGACTTCAAAGAAAACCCCCATTTAGTCAACTCTTAAGATATGCTTGTTGGGGAGGTGGTGGGTCTTTTTTGTTTTTCCTACAGTGGCGCCTCGGAACTAGATTGGGGAATGATGTCGTGATGAATAGTGTTTATATTGCACATGTGAACTGTTTTTTCCTTGTTTCCGAAGACATACTTAAGTTGAGCCATTACAGTTCTTCTTTTTCTACTCCAGTACTCTGAACATGAAATAACAGTGCACCATTACCCTGTCAATGATGGCCAGGTTCCGCCAATGGAGGACTTGATGAAGATTATTGAAGATTTACGCGTCTGCTTGATGATGGGGAAGAGGACTGTTGTACAGTATGTTGTGTTTGTCTGTGTATGCTTTGCTGTCATATAAAGCGCCAGGACAAGTCCTCTAGGAAAGTACCTATAGATCATGATATGACAAAGTCACCACGTATATGAATTACAAATGTCCTATTTAAACTGACAGGGAGGGCTAACCCAGATAACAAATGCATGAAGAAGTTGAATGTGCCTGCCGAAAACGCAAATATCACAGTAGAGCTGTAAACGCACAACACATTTATGTCGCTCGTATGGAGAAGAAGAAAAAGATTATATTAAACTACATAATGCATTTGAAACTCTAGTGGACACGGCAGTCCACTGTATTAAGAATTAAATACTCATTTTGTTTAGGTAATCGAAATCCCATGTCTGTTGGCTGGTTTCTGTCGCGTAGCCCATGACAAATGAGATTATCAATATATGGAAGTGAGGTTAAACAGTCAGCAACACGTGATGGTTCCACAACAGGCACAATGCATTTATTGTCTTCTGATGAAAGCAGAAGAAGAAATTCCATCATAAGTTGTACAAAACAGGAGTGGAAGGTTGGTTCCTGGTTAGGGTTTCTTGTGGGTGTCCTCTCCTTGGCCCATTTGTTTCCCATTGAAGTGCCTGTTTGGTGAGTCTCTGTTCACTTCTTAGGGTGTGAGCAGTATATCACCATCTTCTTATTGCTGTAGACACCAGCAGTTATCCATGCATTTCTCTTGTTTCTTCAACTGTCTTGAATACATCCCATATAACGATCATTAATGCACGGTAGATTACAATTTTACTATTCTTTACATACTCAAGTATTTTTTAAAAATGATTCCCAGTATTTTATATGTTATATGTTTTGTGCAGAGCATGGCCTTTATGTCACCAATAGTTTCTATCAGCATCGACAAAGCCAAATAAACACCTGGTATAAATGGAGCAACCCAGACCAGGCCGCACAGTTGGACTACATACTAAATCGACAAAAGAAAAGAAGCTTAGTAAAAGACGCAAGAGTAATTCCTAACATCTCTTTAAATACAGACCATCGACCGCTGATCGTATATCTAAGCGAAGCAACAATTAACAAAAAACCAAAAACATCAGTACGTACCTCAATGATTGACATAAGACACCTAAGCAATCTAGACAACCAAGCAAAAGTACAGGCAGAAATGACGGCGAAGATGGTTGAGCTAATAACATCAAGTGACAATGTGGAAGCTGCGTGGCAAAAATTTAAGAACACTCTTCTGAACTGCCTAACAACACTCTGTGGTATTAGATACACAGGAGGAACGTTCAGGAAAAAAACAGCATGGTGGAACGATAACGTAAAACAAGCAGTGAAATGTAAAAAGGAGCAATACAAGAAATGGCTAAGATCCCGCTCAGATGACGATTATATCAAGTACAGAATTGCCAGGCGACAATCTGCAAGAGAAATTAAACAATCCAAGGAAACATCCTGGATCATGTATGGGGAAAATCTTACCAAAATCTGTGCTAAATCTAGTAGACAGTTTTACAAAACCATTGCAAAATTGAGAACTAGAGATGAACCATTCCAGCCATCTGAATATGTCAATGATAGTCAAGGCAAACACCCATACATGAGGAGTTCAAGATCAGAGAAAGGTGGAAAGAATATTTTCAGACTCTTCTGAATGTAACAGGAAATGAGGAAACAGTACCATTCACACCCAGATGTACAAACGAGGAACAGCCTACAATAATCGAACAAGAAGTCAGAGAAGCAATCAGATGCAGTCCCAAAAATAAGGCATCAGGTGTTGATGGAATATCAGCCGAGGCAATACAGGCTTGTGGAGAAATTGGAGTCACCTGGCTACTCCACATATTTAGGAAAGCCTGGAATGAAAGAACTGTACCAATAGACTGGCAAAGAGCCCTTATAGTCCCAATTTGGAAAAGAAAAGGCAATAAGCAAGATTGTAACAATTACAGAGGCATCTCCCTTCTAAGTCACGTAGGAAAAATGTTTGCCAAAATTCTGGAACAACGAATTAGATCCGTTGTAGAACCGATCCTGAACCCATCACAGGTCAGATTTAGGAAAGGAAGAGGGTGTACTGACGCTATTTTTGTTTTAAGACAAGTTAGCGAAAAGACAATAGAACACAGACATCAAATGAACATCGCTTTCATAGATCAAGAAAAAGCTTTCGATAGAGTAAACAGAAATTTATTATGGAAAGTTCTTGAAAACTATGGTATAAATGGAACAATTTTAGATTGTGTTAGGGCTATTTATAGACAAAGTGAAAGTGCCATTAGAACAAGAGCTGGCATCACAGACTGGTTCGCAGTAACATCAGGAGTAAGACAAGGTTGTGTATTATCACCTTTACTTTTCATAATATTTATGGACAATATTAATAAAATAGACATAACACCAACAGATGTCGATAAACAGGAGGACTTCAATGAGCTGCTCTTTGCCAACGATCAATGCATATTTCACAGTGATAGTAAACAGCTGCAAGACCACATAAACCTACTACACGACAGTTGCCTTAAGCATCATATGAAGATCAATACTGAAAAGACAGAAGTCATGAGCATAAGTAGAGAGCAACAGACCATCGACATAAAGATTCTAGATCACAACCTAAAACAAGTGCAAGAATTTAAATACTTGGGAAGTATCTTTACATCCAATGGTAAAATAGACAGAGAGATCGAAGCAAGAATCCAACAAGCCAACAATGTCGCATACCAGCTTGCCCCAATTTTAAAACACCCTGCTGTCCCAGCTGAGATAAAAAGACAAATTATAAATACAATCTTTATACCGACATTAGGTTATCAATGTCAGACTTGGACATTAACAAAAGAACACGAGAGAAGACTAACCACCTGTGAAATGAGATGTTTGAGAATGGCTGCGAATAAAACCAGAAGAGATCGAGTGAGAAACGATGTGATTACAAGAACTATTGGAACCATACCCATCGTTAAATTTATTGAGAAGCAAAGAATGAAATGGTTTTGTCACCTAATGAGAATGGAACCAACGATGCCAGCATCAAGAGCATACAACATGAAAAACGAAACACCAAGAGGCAGGGAAAGACCAAGAAGAAGATGGATTGAAGGAGTCACGGACAACTTGAGACTTCATAACATCACAGCATATGAAGCGACTGAGCGCGCCCTGGCTCGGTTGCCGATCATCTGATAGACTGCGACGCCTAGCGGCACAAGCAGATTTTGACAAAAGAAGAATATATGTTACAGGACTACTGCGTATGTATCTCATATACATATAAAACATAAAATTATCTTTGTTTTTGTAAGTTATCATTTCCATATTTAACTTGTTATAAAATTGTTTGTTTCAGTTGTTTTGGTGGGCTTGGAAGATCCTGTGTAGGTAAGTTTATTTTAGACTAGCTGTGTGTCACTTTTGGTTGCGCCCCCCCCCCCCTCCCCGCACCAGACTGTAGGTTGCTTTGTAACCATAGCGTGCCCCGACTGTTACAGTGTTATATGGTTGAAGAGTTTCTTGGATATGCCAAATGTTCTTATCCAAGAAATGTCAGTCCTGCAGTGTGCAATCTTGGAGGGGAAATAGATTACATACTAGCTGTAAAAAAGAAGTAAAGTACTCATTGTGTGAAAGGTAATCAAAATCCAAGGTCTGCTGGCTGCCTATTGCTGGCTTCAAAAGACAGCCCATGATGAATGAGACTTTCAATATATGGAAGTGAGTAGGACGTGAGGATTTCTTGGGTGAGCCCAGTACCAGAGCACTACATATTAGCTCTGTATTTATGGAAACCTCCTTGGGTGGCGGGGAATACTCATGTTCTGCCCCTGACTTCTCTTGAGGCCTGATCAGCATTACGTGGCTTTTATGGATTAGCCTGATGTGGAGCACCACATGTCACCTAGGAAACACACAACACTGAGACTGTAGTGTCTCATGAAACTAACGGGAAGGCTAATCCGGTCAACAAAGGCCTGCAGAAGTCGGATGTGTCTGCCGCAAGGCGCAAATGTTACAGCCATGCTGTGAATGAGCACAACACAATTACATCTTCCAATGAATGCGCAAGATGAAGAAGAAGACTAGATGTAAAAGTCACATTAAACTGGTTTTGATCATTTACAACCAAGATGGCTATGAAAACTGTAGCCATTATGGTTAATGATCCATCACTACTTGTTTTTGTTCTGTCAGTTATTGATGATTCACTCTCATCAGAAAAGTATGTTTAAATCTTCTGCACCAGCCTTCTGGTGTTGTAAAATGCACTTGTTCTTCTGTGTTGAACATGAAAAAGTATGTTGATCATGTTGTCTGATTACAACAGAAATGTAGTGTCTGCTCAGATTGTCCTACGCATTTAACTTTGCAATGGCCGTCATTTGGGGTTTCCTTCCTTCACTGACTGTGGTATGTCCCTTGTTTCCAGGACTAACACTTAAATGCTTTCTTTTCTGCTTATTAGACTGCAGTGATGTCCCCTGTTTCCCTGCTAACGCTTGAATCACTTTTACTATCTCAGTCAGATTGCTGTCTTTTTCCTTTTTCAATATCTGCTTTTGCTGCTAGGGGTCGCAGTTCATCAGACGATCGGCAGCCGAGCCACGACACGCATGGTCGCTTGAAATGCTGTGGTGTTATGCAGTCTCAAGATGTCAGCAACTCCTTCAATCCATCTTCTTCTCGGTCTTCCCCTATTTCTAGTGCCAACACTTCAATCAGTTTTACTGTCTCAATCAGACTGCAGTGATGTCTCCAATGTCCAGGGCCAACACTCTCTCAGTCAGATGGCAGTGATATCCCCTGTTTCTGTTGCCAACATTTGGATCACTTCTACTCTCTCTGTAAAACTTTATTGATTAACCTTGTGTTTTGTACCAGCACTTAGATCCCGGTTAGGCCTTTTGTCAGATCTGGTTAGCAGATCCTTGTAGCAGTAGTCATGCAATGAGTCCTGATTTTTCTTTTACTGTTCTTGTTCTTGTTTGATGCTCAACATAATTTACTTTATGATGAACCTAAATAGTGTGGCTGCATTGTGCAAATATAAGGTTGCAATTTTTGTGACTGTTTGACTCGACGTCTCCTTGTGGAACGCAATTTTTCGGTTTTCTTTAGGCCCCACTCTGGCTGTTGCCTGGGGCCCTAATATAACCTAAGGGTTGAAAGGGGGTTTCCAGGACTTATACACAGGTGATCTTCATCCAAATCGTGGCATTTTGTCAACCGGTGTTAATTGCTCTGTGTGGGGGTGGGGTAAAACTTACTTATCACTTTGCTTCTGTGTGTGTGTCTTCTGTACAGTGGTAGCATGTACTATGATGGCCATGGATGAGACTCTCAGACCAGAAGATGTCTTCAAGAAACTCAGAGATCTCAGGGGAGCTGGGGCTATACAGACTGTAAAGGTATGTGTCTTGTTCATGGGTGCTTCAGTATCATCTTTAACTTCATTTCCCAGCTATACAGACTACAAAAGTACATCTCTTCTTTGTCAGTGCTTGCAATGTCCTGTTGATTTCATTTCTGAGTCACATATTTACAGCTTTCAAGCAGTAACACTTACTTCAATATGTGCATTAAAACATAGTTGGTTTCCCACTTCTTGAGGCACACGGGGCACACAGTTTTATCCTCATTATTTTGCTGTTTTTTTTTTCCTTACATGATATTGTTCTTGCCTTTTCCTTCATGTCATTGTTTTTTCCATGTCACTGTTCTTTTGCCTTTTCTTTCCATGTCACTGTTCTATTGCCTTTTCTTTCCATGACCTTGTTCTTGCCTTTTCTTTCCATGAAATTGTTATTGCCTTTTCTTTCCATGTCACTGTTTTTGCCTTTTCTTTCCATGTCACTGTTCTTACCTTTTCCTTCCATGACATTGTTCTTGCCTTTTCCTTCCATAGTATTGTTCTTGCCATTTCTATCTATGATACTGTTCTTGCCTTTTCTTTCCATGTTATTGTTTTTGCCATTTCTATCCCTGATACTGTTCTTGTCTTTTCCTTCCATGACACTGTTTTAGCCCTTTTCTCCCGTGACATTTGTCTTGCTTTTTCTTCCATGGCATTGTTCTTGTTTTTCCGTCCATGGCATTGTTTTTTCCTATTCCTTCCATGGTATTGTTCTCGCTTTTCTTTCCATTACATTATTCTTGCCTTTTCCTTCATGTCATTGTTTTTGCCTTTTCCTTCCATGGTATTGTTTTTGCCTTTTCCTTCCATGGTATTGTTTTTGCCGTTTCTATGATACTGTTCTAGCCTTTTCCTTCCATGACATTATTCTTGTCTTTTCCTTCCATGACATTGTTCTTGCCTTTTCCTTTCATGTTATTGTTTTTGCCGTTTCTATCCCTGATACTGTTCTTGTCTTTTCCTTACATGACACTGTTTTAGCTCTTTTCTCCCGTGACATTTGTCTTGCTTTTTCTTCCATGGTATTGTTCTTGTTTTTCCGTCCATGGTATTGTTTTTGCCTATTCCTTCCATGGTTTTGTTCTTGCTTTTCTTTCCATTACATTATTCTTGCCTTTTCCTTCATGACATTATTCTTTCCTTTTCCTTCCATGACAATGTTTCGTTCTCCTTAAAACTACGGCCACTTATTATGGAGTACGCCGGAGTTCAGTTCCCTGGCCGCATTGCAATTACGGAGTGGAATATAGGGAACGAAACAAATGACGTAATTACTGTGTGTTGGCGATAGATAGATGGCGTGAACCGATGACGTATTTACTGTGTGTTGGCGATAGATGCACTGCTGTCATAATAGGGTTAGGGTATTGGTACTCCTTAAAACTACGGCCACTCCTACCCCTATCCCTATCCCAAACCCTAACCCTAGTATGACAGCAGTGCATCTATCGCCAACACACAGTAAGTACGTCATTTGTTTCATTCCCTCCTTTCCACTCCGTAATTGCAATGCGGCCAGGGGACTGAACTCCGTCGTACTCCATAATAAGTGGCTGTAGTTTTAAGGAGAACTCAATGTTCTTGCCTTGTCCTTCCATTACATTTTTCTAGCCTACATAAGTAAATCTAAAAAATCCACGTTAAGATTTTACCTCAAAACCAACAGGCTAGCATGCTCTTACGATAAAAGTGAAACAAGTAAAGTACCCTCTTCCACGCCTTTGAGCATATAGGGCTAGATCTGTATTTTATAGACCAGTTTGGGTCTTGCTAGTTACTCTCGCCTTCGCCATGGGCTGTGAATCCAATGCTCCTCTATAGCACATATGTATAACACCATCATCTGGAAAGACTAACTTTGTTTGTTTGTTTTTTTACACAAAAAATCAAGGACCCTTTTTACACTGCAAGCATAATGTGCATATGATTTTGTGTGAGGTGGTCGGCGTCATGGCAGCCGCCTTTAATTCTCAGGACTTTTAACTGTTACTCATTTTAGGGTGGGTCGACATAGGAGCCAAGGTCATTGGGAAATAAAAACATTTCAAGGTGTTTGGGTCAGCAGGCAAATTTTGTATTTTATGAAAACTAAAAACTGTAAAGTACATAGGTCCTGAAGAGAATTTGAAATGAATAAAAAGAAAGCAACAGCTGAACCAAAAGGTTATATGAAAAACTGAAGAGCGAGAGGCAGACAATGCAAGTGGGGGAATTATATCAAGAGATAGATGAACAGCAGCCTGAGAGAGTGTAATTCAAGGGGAAAAGACAGACCATTTCTTTTTCTGGAGACGGCACCTGATTGATACAGGTCCCATAATTGTAGACCAATTGGCACTCAGCATGTCTGACAAGACAAATAAGCTGACTGCCTTTTTGTCTCCCTGAAAATTTCCTGGCACCTAGGAATCTACCTGGTAAAGAAGGGAAAAGATTATCAGTGGAAGGGAAAGAAGGTGAATGGAAGGGATGTCAGTGGAAGGAAAGAAAGTGAATGGAAGGGAAAGAATGTCCGTTAAAGAGAAAGAATGTCAGTGGAAGGGAAAGGTTTGTGGAAGAAAATGTGCTTATGTAGTATTATCAAGAATGATTGTCGGGATATTTAATATAAAAGAAGTGTTTAGTCTTCTTCGCGTTCACCAGCTGTAAACTCTGGCGGAAAGTTCTGGTTGCTCGTCCACTACTGAACTGCAGTCCTGCTCCAGAACCTGAGTGTTGCGTGTGCATCAGTTTTACAGATCTCATTCTCTTGAATACAGACTGTTGGTTCCTTGCCTCTCCGGCAGATGCACTCCGACTTCAAAGGAAGCTCCCCAATTTGTCGACTCTTACGACATGCTTTTGGGGAGGCAGTGGGTCTATTCTTGTTTCCCCCACAATGGGGCCCTGGAACCCACACGGGGGGAAGTGTTTAGTGGAAGTGTTGTGTCCTTAAAATTTTGGGTTTGCACTGAGAAGATAAAAAGTTAGTCAAGAAGATACCTTGAAGAGTCTCTGCAGCGATTGAAGTTGTAACTCTAGACATGATTCAGAAGATGTGCAGAGGAGACTGAATATCATCTAGACTAGTTACAAATGGCACCTATATTGAGGTGTACTACGGGAAATCTAAAACTGTCAATATTTTGGAGCATTTTAAGACAGCGCATGTGCATACGCATTAAACATTTCTTTCATAATAAGTTTTTAAAACCCTGGCAGTTATTCTTGTTGAACCTGTAAACAGAAGTGGGAGGAAGTCATCTGACTATCTTTCCTCCAAATTTTCCCCAGCAATACAATTTTGTCAATGAATTCCACGAGTTGCAGAACAGGTTTAATACAGACAGGAGTGCCGACGACAGATCTGCTTCACGATAAAGTCACTGATCAGGTTTATGTAACTTTCTTGTTTGCACATGAGTGTTATAGGCTATGTTGTGTTGTCTGGTCAAAGAAAACATTCACCAATGGACAGATTGTGTTATTCAGTATGTTAATTTAAGTAACTCATTATTATAACAGTTCATTATTATAACAGTTCATTATTATAACTCATTATCTTCCATGCCATGATATCAGACTGTCCAGCATCTTCCACCTCTCTCCCTCTTTTTTTCTCTAACTTTCCCAGTCATCGCGATGTACTCCAGTTTTCTCCTTCTTGGGGCATGACCAAAGCATTATACCAGCTACTAGGAGCCGTGGATCACAGTAGCTAGACACTCACAAGTTGGCCTGCTGGTCTTGGGTTCAACAAACGAGTCATGAGACAGATAATTGTTTTTCTCATAGAACTGACCTTGTCTTTACCCGACTGAAAATGGGTACCAGGTATGTCTTGTAAATTTATCACAGCCAGCGTTGACCACGTCACCCACTGGTGATGTTATTAGGCTGACTTCCTTACCTTACTGGTTACCTTAGTAGCTTAACACCTGCAGACACTCTTATTTTCAAACCCTATACTTTTAAAATAATCATACTTAAGAGCTTTTAAAAAGGATTGCATCCTAGATTCCTAGAGCTTTTTTTTTTTTAAATATAAATTGGTGTATATCTGGGATCCCTTTTGAGTGTTTTTTTTTTTTTTTTTAAGTAACCATTTAGCGAGGCTGGGTTGCTCTTTATTCCCCAAACCTTGAAGTGTTTTGTGGGTTTATGGGTGAAATGCTGGTCAGCCTTGTTTTTCTTCTTTACAGTCTTTTTGTCTTGGCATGGAGGTCAGCACACAAACTGATACAGATTGTGGAGAGCCAATCAGCAAGGCACTTTATGATAATCACGATACTAACCAGCACTTAATCAGTGATATGATCAGTGTCACAAAGGCCATCTATAATTCTCAAAACATTTTTTTTTCCTTGGTACCAAGTTTAGGCTTTCATAATCTGTTTAAATGCCACCAATTATTGATATCATGAGAGCTCATAGATGGCATATAAAGAGAATGACAGATAACAACAGAAAGACAAAAACTATGCACAAAAGAGGCAGACCATAAAAACAGTGGAGAGATCATATCCATGTAAACATTTCAAACACTTGGAACCACCAAATGAAAGAATATGGCAATTGCAGAGAGGGATTGAGGCTGGTGACATCTGCAGCAGTGAACCCCAAGGGCTTGGAATGCTGAAGAAGATGAAAACCAATGGCTGTTATCTGCCATTCTTTTTATATGCCGAATTATTGCATCCTACTAGAGACAGACACCTCATGCCCGTTGACTTTCCCATGTGGAAATAACAGAATCAAACTTTCCAGGGCCCCCGCTCTCCTTAGGGTGAAATCACACAGACGACACCTGCCACACATAAAAATATAATGTTTGGATGGGTTGTTGACAGATGCCATCCAGCCGATTTGTCGCTTTCCAGAATATTAATACAGAAAAATGAAATAGGTGAATTTGCCTACTGCTTCAGACATCAGAATCTTGGCCCATGTCACCTTCAACAGAAGCTGTCATAGGACACAGTCAAAATGATGACATGAAAAGGCAGATGTCAGTGAGGCTGCGGCTTACATGGATCGATCGGTCATTCGGCGTCAGTGCAGTAGTGGCATTCACTGCGAATGCACAGGAAAAACTGTTAAGGAGATGAGTCGTGCCTTTGTTGTTACAGCTAGCAGCCTCACAAAGGAGAAAGAAGACAATAGCTTAACATGTGCATTGACATGGCTGCGATTCAAGGAATAGGCTCTCAAAAAATTATGGTGGTCTTCATCAGATAGGAATGGATTCTCTCATTAAATACATCACAAATAACTTGCCTAACCTCTCTATCTTTGGGCTGGGCCACGCAGGTGTTCAAGGCAGAGAACGCAGATTATCTGGCAGACAAGGCAGTTAATGCCGTGTGAGCTGCATTTTGCCAAGAAGATCAGGTTAACAAGCATGACTCAGTATCTTTGTTCAGACTGGTGGACAAAGGGGGTGCAACCTAAAGTAGCCAGACATGAAAACCAAAGGCACAAGGCGTCTGCTTAATCACAACCGGCTCCAGCTGACAGGCCATGCTGCTGACGTCACCGGGTCGGGTTAACACAGCGGTTCTCAAACAAGAAATAAACTATTTTTGACACCAGCGAGGGAAGACAACTTAAATTTTAATTTTTAAATATCTTTTTTTTTTAAATTTCACAATTTTTAGCCAAGTTTTCTTGATTATTGCCGCCGCACCACTGGCATACGCCCACGGCACCCCTGGGTGTCTCGGCACCCAGTTTGAGAACCGCAGTGTTAAAGCATCATTAGTCTGACCCGGTGATGTCAGCAGCATGGCCCATCAGCTGCAGCCGGTCTTAATCAACATAGAATGGGCGTAATCTTGTTGAGCTATTGATCGAAGAGTAAATAGAAGCACCTTTGGATCTGTTGAGTTTAGATAGGATAGTCCTCACTAACTTCATGATGCAGAATGTTGTGAACACACAAAGAGATCAAGCTGTTGAAACATTTATCTTTAATTCTGAAAATCTAATGAAAAAATGCATATTGTTTTGTATATTTCTGCACTTGGATTGATCAACTTTAAAAAAAAATAAACAAAACAAAATTGTGTGTACATAAAAACAATGCCCCCCACACCCCCCCACCTGTATTAAATATTTGCAATTACAGTAGATAATGACTCAACCATAAATTAGGATGCAGAGGTGCTAAACAAGTGGCCAAGACCTATCTTGCACGCACCTAAAAACAGGTTCTCAACCAAAGCCAGAGCAAGTCTGCCTGAAAGGCAAGCAACCAGCAATCTATAAGCAAATAAGCCAGATCTTTGAAACTCAACACTCAAGTCCTGAAACAGGACCCAAGTAGAATTGGATAAACAAGCAGCCAAGACTTTCTGCTGAACATGAGAAAAACAGATTTCACCATGGCCACCCCTGTTACCTTCCATACTGGAGACATCTATACATCATCAAGAAGATAAACACACAAGTAAATATTCCCGAGTTCATTCAATGTGCTGGATCTTCAGTCTGTGAGGTGAGGGGGTTTCTCTGAAGGTTTTCATTTGGTGTTTGGGTGTCTATCATCTCCTTGTGAGTAAGAAGGACATGGATGAGTGTGGGAGTTCAGAAGTGGACAGAACTTTCTGCTGGAGTTTACAGCTGGCGAACATGAGAAAGGTTTTACCATGGACACTCTTTTTTTTACCCACACTGGAGACATCCATACATCATCAAAGTGCACCAGAAAACAGTTTGTTCACAAGTACTGCTAAGAATACGAGAACTGGGAGTCCAGATTGGCAGAGCCAAGCATGAGAAGCACACCAGACGCACACAAAGTCTTATTAGCCAACATAGGACTGGCACTATTAACCGTGTGACGCTGATGAATATGTTGAGAAGGGAATCTCAGCGCCTATGGGTGTGTGAAGATAACTCATGTTCACAAGCAAATATTCTGAGCTCATTCAATGCGTGGTATCTTCAGTCTGCCAAGTGAGGGTTTGTCTGAAGATTTTCGCTTGGTGTGGTAGTGTCTATCATCTTCTTGTGCGTACGATGGACATGGGTGAGTGTGGGTGTTCAGAATGTGTACACACTGTAGCTCATCATCCAGGACACACTTGAACCTGCAACAAACATTTACTGACAATTTCACGAAGAATAAAGTTCTCTGAAACTAGCATGACTGCTCCATATGTGGTGCTAAGCAGGACTTTTGTCCTAGGACAAAAAGGAGTGCCTACCAGTAGGTTTATAAAATAGGTTCCAGTAAGTGTCCATTATAGTAAAAGTAAAGGACCCTTTTCCACGCCTTTAGGCGTATAGGGCAAGACCTATATTTTTATCGACCAATCGTCACGAGATGGGTGATGTGGTCAACATCACGTCGGCCACCTTTACTTCCCGGGACTGTACCCGGTACCCACTCAAGGCTGGGTCGACCTGGAAGCCAAGGTCATTTTTGAAGAAAAGTCCGGCTCCGCCAAGGAGCGAACCCATGACCTTCCCATCCGCAGCGCGCGTTTAGCCGCTCCGCCACGGCGACTGTCCATAGTAGTACTGAGAGAAATTAAAATGTTGCACACACAAAAAGGTGCCAGTATTGCATTCCGCAAGGAAGAAAAAAACCTGCTGGTACTAAAAACATGGAAGGAGTTTTAGGGAGTTTTCACTCTTTGTCAAAATATTCTGCTCTGAGTTTTTTTTTTTTTTTTGTAGTATTATAGCCAGCTTCTTCATGACTGGCAACATCCATTAATGCTATCAAATTGCTATTCTGTTGGTGTTGGCACCTCTGGTGGCTGTTTTGAGCATACATGGCTACTGCATGTCCATGTCAGGGCTAATTGTTTGTTTATACCTTTTATTGCCCTTGACTGCCAGAAAGGTAAAGACCTCATCAATCAGTCAACAGTGACCCAATGAAACAGTGTTATGAGGTTGTAGATAAATAGAAGGTCCTTTACCCGGCAGTGGCACATGAGGCTAGACTAATGTTTTTATAAATCTCAATGGATGATGTGGTCCGTATCATGCTTGCCGCCTTTACTGCACAGGACTTTACATGGTACCTGGGAGTCAAGGTCGTGTATGAAAATAATCTGGCGCCATGTGGACTTTCAGATTCGCAGCCAAGCATCTAGCTGCTATACCACGGCGGCTACCTGTAGATAGATAGTCATCATCATGTAGCAGGTCCTTTGCAGAACGTCGCTCTCATAACAGGTCTGCCTGAAAGAAACTTGGTCTCTTGCCAGTTCTCCCGCCTCATGAACTTCACACTCAAGGAGTCACTTATATCCTGTGCCCATCTCCGTGTCGGTCGGCCTCTGCCCCTCCTTCCTGGTACCATGCCTTCTGCCATAATTTTTTCCAATCCGCCGTGGCGCTTGATATGACCAAAATATTTCAGCTTTTGAGAAAGGATGCTGTTTATTAGCCAATCTTCCTTGATGTTCAGATCTTTTAAGATGTCAATATTTCTCATCTTCTTTGTCCAAGATATTCTGAGAATCTTTCTATAGCATTTCAGCTCAAAAGCCCCTATTCTCTTTCTTAAGGACTGAGAGATAGAGATAAATAGTACCCATTCAAAAAAAGTAAGTAGTAGTTGAGTCATCTCCTAGGGGCTCTATTCCTGTGCAAGCGAAAATCAAACCAAATGCTTCCTCTCCCATTTAAAAGGTATGAGAATCATCGCCCAGTAACAGTGCGTGTCACTGGGTCACCAGTTTCCGATGACTGATCAGCTCCCTACACCTTTGATAGTTGCATGCCCAAGACCTGTAAAGTTCTGTGAGCCGGTCTTTCTTGACCTGCCTCTACCCAGCCTTGTAGCTTTGTTTTTTTTTTGAGAGGCTGTTAGATCTTATATAAACTGAAGTGTAAGGAATTCTTTTTCTAGTCAAATTGTACATTCAGTAGTTTGCCACTGCTGCCTGAACGGTCAGCTCTCGGTACCACTGTCAAGACCAACGCAAGACAAATTGTCCGCAGCTGGGATCAAACTCAGCATCCCAGCATTACAAAACGTGTTCACAACACCTAAGCCACAGCCACCAGGTAAATTCACAAACTCGTGGACAATGAATTTCACCTTCTAAGAAATATCACAATTAAGATGGTTTTCTCACCTGCAATCTACCTGTTTACATCGCCAATAAGACATCTCATTCATCCTCCAGTGTCTCAGGAGAATATCCCCACTGACAATCAGGCTCCCGAGCTGTGCATCGTAGTGAAACTCATACGCTCTGTTGCTGTGCACTGCACTTCCTACTATCAAATTAGGTATCTGGGAATATGTGAAATTCAAAACAATGTTTTACCATACTGAATTTAAATAATGTGGACACAAACAATACATTGCACAATTTATTGCCGGGCATATTTCGCAACATCTCAATCATTATGCATTACAGTGTTCATCAACAAATGCTAGAGCACAAAAATAAATCTTTTCCATTGAAACAAACAGTTGAGTCAAGTTTGAAGACCTCCACATCACAGCACTCGGGACACTCTCATAAGTGCTCCGTCCCCATCTTCAATATCCAGCGAATAGTTCCAACTCTATTGGTACCAGTCTGATGTATGTCCATCTCACCTTTTCTCTGAGTGTAGAGCGTCGGCCAGATCCCCTGGTTGCTCCCCGTTGCACCATTCTCTTCAGACCAAGAAATACATTGTCTGCTCTAGTCATGACAAAATTATGCTATGTATTGTTTGTGTCCACATTATTTTAATGTGTGGAATATTTATTTTACGGAAATATTCATTGACTCACTAGCAATGATAAGGTATTATTAAACAGGTGAGGTAAGTGTGCATGTGTTAATGGATGGATATGATGTCAGTAACGAAAGTGTACAGCATGAAAGGAGAAATACCAAGAGGTGGAGGAAGACGGAACTTGAGACTCCACAACATCACAATATACTGACTGTGCCCTGCTCGGAAACTGATCATATAAAGCTACACATAACCTGTGGCAAAAAGCAGAATATGGACAAAAGAATGTAGATGTATGTCAGTGAGTATATCGTGTGTGTGTGTGCACACATATTTATGAGTAAAGTAAATATAGTGGGTACCTAACTAATATAAGAAGCAATATTTCTGTGAATTATGGACCTTAACATTTGGACCTAAAAAGAAAATACAAGCACTAGAAGTTAGATCTTTTTGGAGAAAAAAAATCCTTTAACTATCAAAACAAAAGTTAAAGCCGCCTATCTTTAACAGGACGTTACAGAACCAACTCCAGAATTTACTGGCTGTTCAAGATTTGTCTAGACAATTTTACGTTCAGTAGTTTGGCAGATTTCTAAACTGTCGGCTTTCGATACCACTGGAAAACAACACAAGACGGTCTGCTGCCAAATCATCCACAGCTTGGATCAAACCGAGCACCTCAAAAGTTCAAACCGCGTCGGCATCGCCTGAGCCAGACACCGACCATTTATTATACAGACACTATTTTACTTCTTTCTTCTTAGTGTTCACCAGCTGAAAACTTACCCGTGGAAAGTTCTGCCTGTTCGTCCACTTCTGGACTTTGGTCTTGTTCAAAAACTCAAGTTTTATGTGTACATTCATTTTACAGATCTCGCTCACTTGTATGCCGGCTGTTGGTTCCTCATCTCTCAGGTAGGTACACTCCTATTTTGACAGAAACACTCCTAATTAAATGCCTTTATGACATGCTTGTTGAGGGTCTATCTCCTCCCCCCCCCCCCCCCCCCCCCCCCTCTCAATGGGGAAACCCACACATAAAATTTCAAATGACGAAACCTGTCATATCATTCAACGCACTTACACCTATGAATCTCTTTTAACCACAGTGAAAAGATGGAAAAGACCTCTTTTAACCACAGTGAAAAGATGGAAATTGCATCTCTTTTAATAACAGTGAAAAGATGGAAAATGCATCCCTTTTAACTACAGTAAAAAGATGGAAAATGCAGTGGTACAGACATGTAAGAAGATTAACCTGCCTCTCTAAAACAATACTACAGGGCTTTGTACAGGACAAAAGGCAGATCAAAAAAGACCTGGATACAGAATTTGGCTGGAAGTGAAGGCCTCAAGCATGCAACAAACATCAAGTCCACAGCATCTGACCCACTGATCAGACCTTATCAACAGCAACTGGTGATGTAACAATACGTGGTATCACAGGACTATAGTCACTGAAGGAAGATCTTCAAATATACACTTCAGCAAACCTGGTGAGTTGTATCATCAGCCCCCATGGCAGTTCTGGAACTCTGCATAGCTGACATCACATCTTGGAATCTGGGCAGGCTGTTCATAATCTCTTCAGATTGTAAGATGTGCCTCAAACTGTTGACATACTCCCAGTACACACTGCTCAAGGGCTGATCCAAGTTTTCAATGGCTTTCTTTTGCAGCACTTTTACCACCTGAAAAGATATCAAACCAAACAAACAGTAGAACCAGCCAGCTTCACAATATCACAAACGACAAGTGAACAATGTGGCTAGACAACTTTCATCAGCATATTACATAAATCTGCAGCACCACAATTTTACCACTTGAACAGGTAAAGTCGGGAAATGTGAACCAGCGTCATTGCGTACGGTTATAAACCATAAGGGCTCTGCCACCAGTACGGACAGCTGATAAGAATTGTCCGCCTGTGTCGCCGTTCGCATGTTACTCTGTAGTTACAGGGACGTTCCTCCATTTACCCCAGAGTCTCACTCTGGTACCCATTTCCTAGAGGCTGGATGAACCCCAGGAGCCGCCCGGTTTTGAACACCGACCGTGGGCTGCAGCGAGTCGCAGCTGGATTTGAAAGCAAGCTTCTTATCGACTGCGCTAACGCGATTTTGGTGCTTTATTAATATCCTACCCCAAAAAGGTCACAGAACAGTTTAATATTTCAGGGGGTGGTAGATAAGCTGCATGCAGTCATGGGTCCTAGGCTGCACTCTCTTGTGGGATGTAGGGAAATCAAGTTTTACCACCCTTTAAAATGTTGGGCTGACCTGTGGCGTCATCTGGGATAGATATTACAAAAGAACCCAGATTTTTTTTTTTATAAAAGGGATGACTGTAAACAACTGGAACGTGAAGGCCAACCAGAGATGAATGAAGGCTGGTGATATCTGCAGCAGTGAACCTCAAGGGCACAGAATGCTGCAGAAGAAGAAGAAAAAGAAGAAGAATTGCACAGAAGTTTCAACTCTTTCAGTCTGAAGCAACTCCATGCATTTGTCCATTTCTGCTTATGTGCTTCAATTTATTTTAACTCTTTATGCCCCGGTGCATCGTTACACCAACTCAATCTAGGGTTTGTTATGTTAACCCTTCTGTCACACAATGTTTGTTTCAATTACTTCAGGTAGAAATATTTAATAATTAAAGTAACAATTTATGACATAAGGTGTTAGTTAAAAAACATGTGCCTAGGACTGAAACAGTTAAAATTAACCATATAATCTTTTTTTTTTTTCTAATTAAAAAAAAAAATATTGGGTTCTGAGGTTTGTGGGCCGAATTTAATCAAGACAGCACTAATCTCGAAGTTACCACATTGAGCCTAAAATAAGTCCCAAATCTTCTCTCTTGATTTCCCTCTGTCTCTTTTCCCCTCCAACTTTCCCACCGTCAAGATGTACCCCAGTTTCCTCCTTCTCATGACATGACCAACGATATCATCTAACTGTGGTTAGAAAAGAGGAGTACTAACCTGAGAAGAGAAAGCTGACTGTGAACCTGTGGGTGCGTGGTTGTGGCTACCAGAAGCCTTTACAATCTGGGATGTCTCTGTGTTGAACAAACAATGAAATCCACATCCTAGCACTTGGCACTGCCAGTAGATGCTGCCCATGCTTGTGGTGGTGGGTTTCACGGGGTATCCATGGAGGAGAAACATGAATTCACTGTCAGGCATCACACTGTGTGGTATCTGGATAATGCTGGGGGAATCCTGTACTGGAGCCGGCTGCTGTGTTAATGGTAGCGGTGGTGACAAAGGAGGAGCTGATGCTGAAACCGCGGTTGAGGATTCCTGTTGCTGTGACGGCTGCACCTGCTGGTGGAGATAAGGTTCTCTGGCCACATAATGAGAGGACTTATCTGGTAAGCTAAACCTGCTGCTGCAGCCTGACTGCTGGGGTACTGAAGTGAAAGCATCAACATGTGCTGAAGCTGCATTTCTAAAACTGATAATGGTATGATCAAAATCTGGCTGCTGGTAAGGAATAGTGCCACAGCTTCTATCCAATACAGAGGTTGATGATAAGTTTTGACAAGGTTCTTGTTTAAATGTCAAACCTCTTTGCTGATGTCGAGGCTTACTTACAGGATAAGCTTTCAGTTTGTTTCCATCATCTTCACCCTGCTCTAGGAGACAGTCGGCATCAAAATGCCCAGCTCCAGTACAACTGACACCGGGGGCAATGTTCACGTTGCTCCCTGAGGCTTTACTGCATTTCTTTTTCTGCATCTGCTTCGCATGTTTTATGAGGGAGGCTGTGGGTTTTTGAGGAGGACGGGGGTTAGCTCTGGTCTTTGTTATCAACTGATAAACCTGAGTCAGGTTTGGGATGAATTTGATCAATGTCTTGTTTCCAGAGAGTTTGTCGATAATCCTCTTGCGCTCTTGTTTATAGATTACAGTTGGTAACAAGCTGTAATCCATGACCGCTCTTCTCCTCACGGCACTGAGCATAGTCTGAGCAATGATCTGCTTGACAACCGATTTGTGTGTGTGATCCCACTGGCTTCTGGTGATAGCATTGGTTTCTATGTCCACTACACAACGGAACGGACAGTCCTCCTTGCTACATGACCACCCAGTACTGGTCTCTGTTGTACTTTTCTTAACTAGCAAATGACCATCAAGCAGACGCTTGTCTGGATCTTGTTCTATCCAAGAGGGCAGCTGAGAGTTGAACATAGAAAAACCTTCCTCTATACAAGGGTCATACGGAGGTTCTTCAACTGAGCTCACCTCTGCAGTGTCTGTACAGTTCTCATCTTCCTGCTGCAGTAAAATAAAAATAAAAAGACAGTAAACTTAATAATCAGAAAAAAAAGTTATACTGCATATTTCCACTTTCCTAATTTTAATTCACAAACAACAGGCCTCATTTTGAAAAATACTCATCTGCTGTTGTATGCTCACCTTTGTTTCCGACTTACAGCAACAACTGCTTATAAGAGACAATGTTTCTTTTATGTTGTTCACTACTTACAATTATCTTAAACTGCAGTCTACAAGTCTAACTCAGAATTTTTAGATCAAAATTCTGAGTCAGGCTTACACAAACTATACAGGTCAACCCCAAACATACAGTTGGCGATCACTAAACCAAAACTTAGTCTATCAGCTGTTGGAAAAAATGTGTTCTGTGAAGTTAACAGGATACTGAATATGTTTTACAACATATTTTAGTAGGATATACCTGCTGGAGGTAGGGTAAGTGGTATACAGTGGTTGTTGGGAGTGCTGTCCAACTTGTTTATATCTATTAAGACAGCGATTGTTAGGAGTGTTGTCCCAGTTGTTTACAGCGCCATTCTCTTCAGACAGTAATGATGTATCTGTGCCTCCACACTTTTCACTGGCTTTCAAAGGGCCCTCACAACATCTAGCTTGTCATACATCAGTTCACCACCAAGTGGTGCAGAACCGGCTACACTATCTGCCTGCTCATTTCCCAACAGACCGACATATTCTGGAGAAAATATCCAAAGGATGCTAACTACCCGGAACCTCTGAAGTGATGCTTGCCACTCTGCACACAGCTTGCCTGTCTCCACCTTTCTCAACATGCTTTGTGAATCAGTTACAATCGCAGTGACTGCCTCCACCTCTATTCTTAAAATAGACGTAGTGATATCATATGTGAGGCTTTGTTGCACTAAGCGACCTCTATTTGCTTTTGCTATAAACTCCCCATGCACTTTGTCTGCCCCTTCGTCTGTATCTACGTTGTGGTGGTCAAACCCCTAGCTCTTCTTCCTGTAACTCTTTCAGTCCCAAAAGATCTCACAGGAGATGCTGAATGAGTACTTAGATAAGAGGAATAAATCATACATGCATTATTTTTCCAATGACAGCACATAAATTAGAACATAAATCATATTATGTAGTAGCTGATCACACATGAGGCATTGTTTGGGACACATGGACAATAGCTGATCAAACATGAGGCACTGTTTGGGACACATGGACAGTAGCTGATAACACAAGAGGCACTGTTTGGGACACATGGACAGAAGCTGATAACACATGAGGCACTGTTTGGGACACATTAGCAGTAGCTGATCACACATGAGGCACTGTTTGGGACACATAGACAGTAGCTGATCAAACATGAGGCACTGTTTGGGACACATGGGCAGTAGCTGATCACACATGATGCATTGTTAGGGACACATGGGCGGTAGCTGATCACACATGATGCGTTGTTAGGACACATGGGCAGTAGCTGATCACACATGATGTGTTGTTTGGGACACACGGGCAGTAGCTGATCACACATGATGTGTTGTTTGGGACACACGGGCAGTAGCTGATCACACACAATGCATTGTTAGGGACACATGGGCGGTAGCTGATCACACATGATGTGTTGTTTGGGACACACGGGCAGTAGCTGATCACACACAATGCATTGTTAGGGACACATGGGCGGTAGCTGATCACACATGATGCATTGTTAGGGACACATGGGCGGTAGCTGATCACACATGATGTGTTGTTTGGGACACACGGGCAGTAGCTGATCACACACAATGCATTGTTAGGGACACATGGGCGGTAGCTGATCACACACGATGCATTGTTAGGGACATATAGGCAGTAGCTGATCACACATGATGTGTTGTTTGAGACACAAGGACAGTAGCTGATCACACATAATGCATTGTTTGGGACACGTGGGCAGTAGCTGATCACACATGAGGCACTGTTTGGGACACATGGGCAGTAGCTGATCACACATGATGTGTTGTTTGAGACACACGGGCAGTAGCTGATCACACATGATGTGTTGTTTGAGACACACGGGCAGTAGCTGATCACACATGATGCACTGATTAGGACTGATAGAGTTAACGGTGCAGATAACTTTTAAATTATTACAGCAACACTTATTCTGTTCACAGCTGCTCCTGCCTCTGGTGTGTGTAATGCACTGGAGTCTTGCATCTACATGGTGTGCATCTGTACCCCTAATTAGTGTGCCTATTAAAGGAGCAGTGGGTCTTCTCCCCCCACCCCTACTTTTTTTTTCTTCAATGGGGCCTCAGAACCCACATGGAGAATGAAAGTACAATTTGTGACATTCAGAAAATAAAATGACTTTATTTATACACACCCCCTTCCCCCCACCCAACCTAGCCTACACACCCTCCCCTTTTTTTTTCTCTCTCTCTCTGTATGCACAAGCACCTTTCCTCCATTTTCCCAGCTTTATATCCCATTTGCCGGCATCTGTGTCTTAGGCGCTGCGAACGCGCTTCGTAATGCCGGGGTATTGGGTTCGATCCCAGCCGCGGGCCTTGCGGCTTGCGTTGGTTTCGACAGTGATATCGAGAAGCCGACCGTCCAGAAAGCAATGGCAAACTACTGTACGAAAATTTGCCTAGAAAAACCACAACAACCTAAAAATGCTGGGGTTGATTCTGCAACGTCCTGTAAAGGATACGCAACTAACTTATATCCCTTTAAAAAAACTGCCTTGAATGAGGACAGCTTACACTGCACACACACGCACACACACACATAAAAAGAATGAAAGTCTCAAACTCAACTTCAGTCCTTACTTTCTCATCCTCAGAAGCATCAAACAAATAGTCTACATTGTCTGCGACTGACACTGCTGCTTTTGCAGGCCTTTTCTTCACTTTGTACAAGGTGGACTTGAGACTGTCGTAGGTTGGGAGTCGCTTCAAGAGTTCCACATCTGTCTCCTCACTTTTCACGCGGGCCACTTCTTCATCATATATTATTTTGGGGGATAATTTATTCTCTTGAGAAACCCTGAAGTTGCAGAGACAGAAAAGAAAAAAAAAGTAGGGTTAAAAATAACATGGGCTAGTCCTTCCGAAAAATCTGACTTTAAAATATACTGTAATATACTTAAAAATATACAGTGTGCTTTCATATATCTTTTAAAAGATGTCTTTGTCATATTCTGTTTTTTTTTTAACAAATGGCATCTACAGAATTTGGGAACCTATTAATTTTTAAAAAAAACGTTTGTTCAAGAATTGAATGAATGAACTGTGTTTGATTAATTTAATTTTCAAAACAATGTTTCCTCGTAGCGAATTTAAACAATCCAGACCAAAAACAATGTACTGCACAATTGATTGGTACTTTTTGCTGTATCTCATCAGGTACATTACTACCATTACATCAAGATATAATATACACCCCCACCCCCCCTCCAAACCCCCCACCTCGCTGCAAAAATAAAATCCTTTTCATTGAAATACACCTATTACATTGTCTTCTTTAGACACATTGTTCATTATCTTTTATTAGTAAAAAAAAAAAAAGTAAAGATCCCTTTTCACGCCTTTCGGCGCATCGGGCATATGGGCAGAGCGTCCCATATTTTTACAGACCATCAGCACTCTGTGGGTAATGTGGTCAGCATTACGCCGGCTGTCTTTACTTTCCCAGGACAGCCCATCCTGGTACCCATTTTAGGCTGGGTCGACCTGCGAATTATCTTTTATTATTTCATAATTAATCAAAATCGATTATTAACCAGACTACATAGATCTGCAACAACCTAACAGAATGAACTCTGAGAATGACAAGAAAGGAATGAACTCTGAGAATGGAATGAAATTTGATAAGAAAGAAATAAACTCTGATTTAAAGAAAAATATAAACTTAAGGAAAAATGCATAACTGAGAGACATGAAATAATAATAAATACCAAGGAAAAGTAACCAAAGAAGAGAGTGGAGCTTTTGTTTCTACATCAACAGCATGATAATGGAAGTCATGGCTGTGACAAAAGCTCCAGAATGGCTGAAGACTCTGAAATTCACCAATGCATGCTTGCTCAGCGACTCCATAAGCATGCTACAGAAGACCAAGGTAGGGTATATACAGAAATAGTGGTTCTATCAGACATGGCACGCAGCAGTTCGCAAAATCACCTTCATTGTTGTCCTAGGGCATGACCATGTGGAAGGCAATGAGACAGCAGACACCTTGGCTGGCAGTGCAACTATTACGAACAGACCATCTATGGACCGGAGAGAAATCATTCATTTCATAATAGAAAATAAATGTGGGGCTTACAATTTCATGAAAAACGATTCTTCACTGATAAGACTGCGACCCTGGATGTACCGATGGAAGCAGCAAGATTTTTAAAAAAATGCATGTGGGAGCTACCTGTCGTTACATAAACTAGAACAGAATAGGAGTTGTTAGCCTAAAAACACTCAGAGACATACTCATCGGAGCACTTACGGTTATGTCAGATGTGATATGAAGAAGACCTTTAATTAAAATAAACAGAGAACAATGAAAATGACTGAAGCAATTATGACAACAAAAGCATATAGTGCATCCAGGGGGTCTAAATACATGGAACATTGTGGGCGACTTGTGTTGATTGACTGATTTAGTTTGCCTGACTAAACTTAAGATGCAAATACAGAAATATACAAAACATGTTTGACAGTAATATCCAGCACAGAAGGTATGTTGTGTGAGACTGAAAGAGTCAATCCATTCTATGCCAAGTATTACTTTAACTCTGCCTGTCCGAAGCTGTATTTTTCAATTCTGTAAGACAAATTAAAAATAATAGTTGCTCCAAGAAACAAAAACATTAGGATAAACAGTGTTGTAGTAACAACAGCCTGCGACTGAATGAGTTAACTGTACAAAACTGTTACGTATAACTGTTACGAAGTAAACTGCTGTAGACTCTGGGTGGGTAGCTTGTGAGGCACAAGAGAAACTGACTGAATGGAAAGTTCTAAACTTGACGAAAAGAAACAAATAGACAGAAAGGAATTAAGTGTGACAACAACAACAGAGAAGTAAGCAGACAGAAAAATCTCCACCACTTTGTAAAATTCAACAGAATCATTACCATAATCAAATATTACCTCTTCTTTAGCTTCTGTACAAATATTCTAATTACAGAATTGTATGCGCTGACTGGATGGTTGTGTTCGCCACTTATACGTATCAGATGTTTTCTTTTGGAGTCATAGCTGCACCGGAAGTGGCAGGCAGTGTTGGGGCACTTCCAGTAGGTCACATAATCTCGTGTGTAATTGATGCGCATCATGCAACCATTGACAACCAGAGCACGACCACCTCTAGCGGTCGGCAGAAAACTCACAGAGTTGACCGAGAGATCAGGCTTGGTGACTAGATGGGTCTCAGGGCTTTTCTCTTCTTGAGTCAAAGACTGTGTGAAATATGGAGATACATTATGAGATAATTAGTTAGTTAGTTAGTTAGTCTTTCCTCTTGTGTCGAGTGCGGCACATAGGGCAGAGGTCGTGACTCTCCATGCACGGCGGTCCGTTGCAATCCGTTGTAGGTCTTGGATGTTTGAGTGGCCCATGAGCGAGCCTTCCCTGATGATAGTTCTACGTAGGGTTTCCCTTGGTCTTCCACGAGATCTTTTCCCCTGTGGTGTCCAAATGAGGGCTTGGTAAGGAAGCTCTATCCTCATGTTATGTTTATTTGACGGATCAACATCATGGCACACGGGTGTAGCCCATAAGTGCTTCGTTCTACTTCTAACTGAAGCGTGAGCCTGAAGAATCTCAGCGCAGTGCACAAACTATATATGTTACACCAGCGAGGATCCCAAAATACTTTGGTTAGATTTTCAACTCCAATGCTCTATCCTGTTCTATCCATTTAATATCATGGATGGAGTCCAGTCCAGCAGCTTTGGCTTCTCTCACTAATGTTTGTTCTAGTGCTTCTTATGGCTGACCACGACCAGCTCCAGCTGACGGGCCGTGCTGCTGACCTCACCGGGTTGGGCTAACAATGTGTTAACGCAGTGGTTCTCAAAAAAGAAATAAACTTTTTTCGACAGTGGTGAGGGAAGACAACTGAAATTTTAACTTTTAAGTATCTTCTTTAATAATTTTTCAATTTTTAGCTGATTTTCATCGATTATTGCCGAGGCACCCTGGCATACGCTCCCGGCACCTCAGGATGCCTCGGCACTTAGTTTGAGAACCTCTGTGTTAACGCATCGTTAGCCTGATCAGGTGACGTCAGCAGCACGGCCCGTCGCTGGAGCCGGTCATGGGCTGACATTCTCTTACATTATGAGATTTCAAATAGTTATACTTTACAGATTAATAATGATATACATGAGATGTTAACTCTTTGAAGACAGAATGCCATTTAAATGGCATTTGAATCAGTCACCTGCAGACAGAATGCCATTTAAATAGCTCATCATAGAGACACTCTAATATTGTTTCTTTAGCTGGAAAAATGAATCTGTTTTGAAAAACTAGAATTAGCGAAACAAAGTATTTTTGTTTCCGAAGTCTGGCGTGGTCATTGGAGTAGTTACTGATTCGCTTTAAATTTTTTAGATGCGATAAAATTTTTATGTGATTTTTCTATACCAAATGATAAAGGAAAAGGCTTGAACTGGCCACAGAAGATCTCTCATGAACTCACGTCCTTTCTGAAGCATTCGTGCCCCGCTTCTCACTGCTGTCTTGGACACACATTTGTTACAGTATATTGCCTGCCTTTGATAAACGTCCACTGGCTGAGATCCTTCAAATTAAAGAAACTGAATCCCTGCTCTTTGAGCTTCTCTGGACCAACATGGCCATTTTTTTCAATGGTCAGAAATAGAACCAATGTATTGTGGGATGATAAACACTTACTCTTTGATTTATTGGGAGTCGCCGTGGCCAAACGGCTAGACGCTCGCCGCGGATCGGAAGGTCGTGGGTTCGCTTCCTGGCGAAGCGGGACCTTTTTCAAAAATGACCTTGGCTCTCAGGTCAGCCCAGCCTTGAGTAGGTACCAGGTGCAGTCCCGGGAAAGTAGAGGCAGCCGGCGTGATGTTGACCATATCACCCATCTTGTGCCGAATGGTCTATAAAAATATAGGTCTAGCCCTATATGCCCTATACGCCTACAGGAGTAGAAAATGGTCCTCTTTTATTATATTTTATTTTACTATGATTCATTGGTCAGTACTTATCACATGACATTGTTATGATCATGTTCAATGCAAGCAGTTACACACGGTGCTGCATGAACAGGTTTCAAATGAATGCTCCTTGTGTGATTCCAGTGCTAACTTATGGATGTGAGAGTTGGAAAGCAACGTTAGCTCTAGATAAAAACAGACAGTTTTGAGAACAAATGTCTTAGAAGAATACTAAATCTTCACTGGGCAGATTTAAGATCCAAAATGCAAATAAGACAAGAGACCAAGCAAAACAATGTATCCAGTTTCATAAGAAAGCACTGCTGGAACTACATCAGCCATGCACTCAGAATGGATAAGACAAGACTTCCCTATCAGGCACTCATATGGACACCGGAAGGGAAAAGAAAACGAGGAAGACCAGGAGAGACTCTGCGTAGAACCATCATCAGGAAAGGCTCAACCTTTGGCCTAAAAAACATCCAAGACCTAAAGCAGGTGGCAGTGAACTGCCAGACATGGAGAGCTATGACCTCTGCACTATGCCCTGCCCTGGGCTCAAGAGAAAAGACTTAACTAATAAAAGTAAGTAAAATTCAAGATAATACGCATAAAAATCAAACACATGAGGTACCACAGTAAAGACACAAACATACAATACAGGTTTCAGTTAGCAAAAATCAAATTAACAAATCTCGTACCTGGGATTTGCCAGTTAGGCTACAGTACTGGCCAATGATGTCATGGTTGTCATACAGACTTGGAGCAGCTATCTCCATGGGGTTACTGCTGGATGAGCTGCTCGACAATGTTCCTCTGTCATCTTCTTCATGCTCCATTGGATCATTGTCCTCTAGACTTAATTGCTGTCAATAAAACATCTAGAAGTTTAATATGACTCAGCAAGCCGTAAAGATACCCTCCTTCCCCCCTCCCCAAAAAAAATTAGATATAGTACAGCATGGCTCAATGAGAGGATTCGCTTAATTGCACTGGGTTTTATCCCATATGGCTCAGTCTCTCTCTGCAGAACGGCTTGCCATCTTCTGAAAGCGCCAAGCACAGCACATACTCCGTAGCTATGGTGATGATCCCTGGTGACTTCAACTTAACAGGGCCTCGACTCATGACTTTCCGACAGAAGCATAAGAGTCCATTACACCGTGTAATTCCCAATGACCAAAAATATACTTTGGTCTTAAAACAAACCCTTACAAAAAATGAACGGACTTACAATGGTCATAACTGTTTTAAAAGAACTGACAAGACATGTAAGAGCTTTACATAGGAGATAACTGAACAAACCAACAAGGTAGGTAATGGCTTGGATTTCAATGGAGATGACTGCAAAATTCTTTATCATTTTCTGCCATTATGTCCCAGTGGAGCATAGGCCCTCAACCCACGTCAAGTCGTCCTTTCATTTACTGCTGCATGCAGCTCACCGCATGGCCTACCCATCTTTTTAAATTCATTCTCCAGTTTCTAATTTTTTTTTGGGGGGGGCATCTATTCCTTTGCCCCTGTGAATTCTAGTGTAAAGCTCTTCTAGTTACATTGTTTTAAGGTTTTTTCAATGTGTGTCTTGTCCAACGTCAGTGTCTTTTTTTCACCTCTCGATTCACTTGAATTTTTTTTTAGTTCTCTCCCAAAGCTCCATATAAGTGATTCTACCAAAACATTTAACCCACTGACTATCACCATGACACGTTATGCAATCTAGTGATGTTTACGCCTGGCAAACACGATCGCACCCCTTGCCATCGTAACTTTAGACGCTTGTCATCATGTTAAAATTGTGATGTTTGCGATGAATTTAGGTGAAGCCTTCAGCCCAGCGATCCTCAACCTGTGGGTCGCAACCCTTTTGTGGGTTAAACGACCCTTTCACATGGGTCGCCAAAGACCAATCGGAAAACCCAAATTCACAACATGAGGAACTGTATTAAAGGGTCGCCGCATTAGGAAGGTTGAGAGCCACTGCTAGCCCATTCACTTTTTATATAATTAATTATGGGAAACAACTCCGTAGTGCTTGCAGTAAATGTCTGATGAGACATTGACGACATTTTCATCATGACGTCAAATTCTTGGAACCATCGTGGTGGTCATAGTATTCAAAATGTTTCTGATGACGATCGTGATTTTATTGATTTTGCTTTAGAACACGAAGGTGAAGATACTGAACAGTTTGATGGCTGTGGCTTTTGATAAATCTAAACAAAAGTGCCATCAAAAACATCATCGACTGAAACAACAGCCTGTCGCTTCAAAGTCAAGTCTAAGACTCAGCATGCAGTTACAGTATTGGCTGTAAGCACTAGTGAGGCAGTTTCTGATACTGATAGTTCTAGCGAGAGTATTCAGTCAAAGCTTCAAGATTATGAAGATATTGTGTCTGAGCCTGCACATGACGAAGATATCACTGCCGCTCTTGATGTAGAATCATCATCATCTGATGAGTTTATGACTGGCATTGTGATATGCAAGGCTTTCCTGAAACACCCACATTTACTGGCACTTCAGGTTTATTTCTGCCTGAAGGAACTAATGAACCCACTGGCTATTTAAAATATTTTCTTCAGTAAAGAAATTCTTGCTGCATTTGCTAAAGAAACAAACAGCAAAGCTGAGGCAAAGATTGCTGTGAAACTAGATAGTTTTTTGGGCAAGAAGTGGAAACACACAACCCCAAATGAAGTGAGGGGGTTTCTTGTACAGTTGCTTCACATAAATAATGTGAAAATGCTGTCTTTTTCAAACTACTTGAGCACTGGTAATCTTAGTTTCAACTTTATAGCAAACGGGTCACCCCATAGTTGATCCGCTCCTGTGCCAAAGAAAAACTCACAAAATGTTTATCACAGTTCAAATGAAATCCGCAGCTCACAGTGTCACGCCATGTTACTCGAGCACACAACCATTTATCCATTCACAAATTTGCTGCCACCATCATGTCACTGAGGCGTTTTCGGTTCCTCCTATGAAATGGTGGCGGAAATTATTTTGTTATTTGTTTACTTTTGCAGTTTTTCAGAGTCACCTAAAAAATCATAAATTATTAGCGCAAAATGGGAAGCAACCTCTGAGGCTGCAGAATTTTATGCACAGTTCTCACCCAGGATTATTTCGTTAAAAAAAAAAAAGAGCAGCAACACCTTGTGCTCCCAAAAAAGTGTAGAGTCTATGAAGCATCTGACAGACATGAAACATTCCTTCCCAAATTTCACCAACAGCTTCAAACTCAAAACCCAGAAGAAGGTGCACAGTGTGTCTAGAAAAAGATAAATGTAGAAATCCAGAAGATAAAAAAGGGCTTAAAGGGACCATGACCAGTTGATGGTGTGGGGAATGTCAGGTGCCACTTTGTACTGAAGAATGCTATGAACTGTACCATACCAGTGATCCACTTTGGCTGTAAAATGTGATAAATGTGAGAGGTAATTTTTTTTTTTTTTTTTTTGGGCATTGATTTTTAAATTTTTAATTACACACCATTTTCTCACTATTTTTTAAACTGACAAAACAACCCAATCTCATGTTTTATGTGTCATGAAATTCAGTCTATATATCTGCTGTCAGATAAAACATTTTTTGGTTCACCTTTTTTTTTTTGCACCAATCTACAGCTACAAGATTGTGTAGAACAAAATAAACATAGTTTTGTTTTCTCTTGAAATCTGTACTCCATTCATTGTGGTGCAAAAAAATACAAAATATTATGTTTATGTCACATAGTTGTGAAGTTATGGCAATTTTACTACACACTAAAATACGTGGTATCTGGGAAAGTGCAAGGGTTAACAGGCGTGGTAGTCAGTGGATTAAATACCTCTATTCTGCGCAAGCATCAATTAATGAAGGTTTATAGTTTATTAGTAACTGTTTTAGCTGTTCTCCTTGTTTCTGCTCCATGCATCAGTACTGATCTGACATTAGAGTTAAATAATTTAAGTTCTGTATTAGTCTTTATGGTGACAATATCATCTTGATAGCAACAAGTCAGACAGAACTACGAGAATTTATATATCTGGTAGCGAAGAAATTGAAAGAATGGGCCTCAGCTGGAATAATGGGAAGAAAGAAGTTATCTTGATATCAAAGAATTGTGCCTAAATGTATAATAATAGTTAATGACGTTATTTTATTATGCTATCAGTGCCAAACGTGGACACTTACATCCTCCAGTAAACGTAAAATTGTGAAAACAGAGATGAAATGCCTTAGAAGAGCTGCAGGAGTTTCAAGGAAAGACAGAAATCACGAAATCAGACGAATGCTAGGAATAAAGCCAGTCTTACAGGTCATCAAAGAACAACAAATGAAGAGGTTTGGACACCTAACAACGTTACAACGGGTATAGTGCGAGTGGAAGACTTCGGAAAGATGAAGTGATGGCATTAAGAACAGCCTTACAGAAATGAACATCAGTCTTAATAGTGCTCTTGACAGAGCTCATCAATGAAAGTTACATCTTTCCCCAACACTTCGATGAGGTACAAGGTGGAAGAGAAGAAGAAGAAGAAGTTATTTTCTGACAAGTACAGAAATTTAAGTATCTAGACACACTGATAATATCAGCTGGAAGATGTATCACAGCGATGAAAAACAGAATAGGACAAGCAAAAACGGCACATTATAAAATGAATCCACGTTATTGGGGATTTAAAAAAGAATTCTTGCATGCTATATGCATACATTTTTTTTAAGCACCTGGCTGTGAAGCCTGGTCAATAATAAACAAACCAAACATTGTCTTGAGGCTCAGACTAGTGGTCTTACAGAAGAATCCTTAAAATTCCTTGGTATATGCCACTAAAGATCGCAGCATGCCAGTTGGCAAGGCACGATAATAATTGTTTCAAATTTCCTTTGATTTTTACAAATTTCCTAGTGCTATGAAAACAGATATACAGACAGACGACACAGTTCTCCTTTCCAAAAGTGTACAAGGTTTAGACAAATTAATTCTGGCCATCAAAAAGCACAGCAAAGATAATCTTTTTTTCTGAATTTGAAAAAAAATAAAATCATGTCCTCCGTAAATAGAGCATACCAACCACATATCACAATCGACAATAAAGAAATATTAAAATTAAGAGATTTTGAATAATTGGGCTCTTTATCTTTAGTGCACATCACTCAAAACTTCAGGTCAAAATTGACGCTAGGCAGGGGCACTGTTTGGAGCCGGGGCTAATTTTTGTTTTTTGCTTCTGCCAGACGGTGGCTAAAATTGTAGACAAGATATAGTTTTGACGCCCACCTTCTGAGTTGAATGCATGGCATGACACTGTGAGCTGCAGATTTCATTTAGAATGTTTTTTCTACTGTGAACAATGTGGTAGTGTGAATTGTAGATTCAGAAAATGGCGCAATGCCTGTTGTTGGTGGTGCCCATATGTGATTAAAATTGATCGCGTGGGCAACTGCTGATCTGTTGGTAACTTCTACTACCCTCAATGATGAGCTGCATTTCTAATGTCAGACTGTTTGTGTTAGCACTTCTGATAGCAACCGTATGCTTTAATGCGTGTGTATGCTAGATATGCTGAGACAGCAGTCTGTCAATCTTTCCACACTGACTGTGATAAACATCATGAGTGTTTTTCGTTGGCACAGGAGCGGAGCAAAGATGGGGTGACCCGTTTGCTATGAAGCTGAAACTAAGACTACCAGACTACCAGTGCACAACAGTGGAGACTGCTCGAAAGAAGTCAGATGAAGACTTGCATTAGCAATACAGAAATCAAACAGCATGAAGAGCCTATGGTAAAGCACATGTAAATTAGTTAAAGTAAATCCCTCGAAGTCGGAGTACATCTGCCCGTGAGGCAGGGAACGGCAAAAGCCAGTAAAACGGTTGTACACGTAAAACTCAGGTACAGGTAAAAGCCAAAAGTCCAAGCGGACGATTAACCGGGACCTTCCGCCGGAATTCACAGCCTGTGAACGAAGAAGAAGAAGAAGTTAAAGTAAAAATCTGGAGATCCTGCACGTTTCCTGTGGTTGGGAGTCCTGGACTCTGACTCAATCATCGAAGAAAAAGATTGGGGCTTTTGAATTAAAATGTTACAGAAAAATTCTCAGAATACCATGGATCAGGAAAGGGAAAAACATTGACATTCTACAACAGTTAAACATCAAGGAGAACTGGCTCACAAACAGCATCTTGACCCAAAAGTTGAAGTATTTTTGCCACATCAAAAATCATGGTGGCTTGGAAAAGATGGTGATGGGGGGGGGGGGGGGGGGGGGGGGGGGGGGGGGGGGGGGGGGGAGTACAGTTTGTGGAAAGCGAGGCAGGGATCGATCTCCACGAAGATGGATACAGGACACTAAAGATGCATTGACACTGAAAGTGCATGGTGCCGGAGAGCTTGCTAGGAAAAGGGATACTTTCCATGGAGACAGCGATATTCTGTAAAGGACACGCTGACTGATGATGATGAATACATTTATTTTAATATCTCTAATCAGTTCGTTCCCTGACTCCACAATTTGTGATATATAAAGAAAATAAATAATTGGAGATATCTGAAAATAAAACTATGTATATGAATATCTTACAAAGCCTACAATGAAGACAACTGCAAAAAAAAATCTGATAAAGTAATGCAAAAACTCTACATTCTGTCAAGTATGTAAAAGTAATTAACAATGATTATCATCACAGCACTCAGGGCATACTGGAGGGAAAGTCTGAGGACATATGAGCAATTGGGAGGACAACATCAAAAGATGGACGAACAGCAGGCTGAGACAGAGTACAACCAAGACAAGAGGTAAAGCATGTTGGAGATCCACTGCAGCCAACTTTCATGGTGGAGATTGATTAACTGACTCAGCATAGATCCACAGATACTCCTATTTCCTCCTCAATAGCTTCAGAAACGAAACGTAAAGCGACTGAAAACGCCTGTTCTGTGTGCATGTAGCTGTGAAAAACAACAGATAATTACCGTGATATCTTTGGGTGAAATGTCCTGAGCCTGGTCCAGATTAGCCTCTGCTCCCAGTGTGTGGGCACCTCCTACTGATGTGCCTGTGTAATAATTGTTGTAGCCACTCCCAATAGTGCTCCTCCCAGAAAGCAGTTTTTGTTCATCTTCGAGAACTTTTCTGTATAAAGAAAAATGCTTAAAACATTTTACTATCCTACAAATAGGCATAGAATGGTTTGGTCATCTCACATGATGGAGTCAACAAGGCAGGAAAAAGAGTGATCATAACCATGAGCAACACATTTTAGGGGGACAAGAGCAGACAAATTAATTCTCCTCTATAAACATGTAGCGGGAGTGACTAACAGGGCATTTGGTTCTTTATTAATATCCTACCCCAGATGATGTCACAGGACAGTCCAACATTTTAGAGGGAGGTAAACCCCGCTTTCTGATGCTTTTAACGACCCCAAAAAATCTAGAACTGGCTCTAACCTCAACCCACCTACCATGAGAGAGTGCAACCTAGTCCCACGACTGCATGCAGCCTAGGTCCCATGACTGCATGCAGCCTATCTATCACCCCCTGAAATATTAGACTGTCCTGTGACCTATGAATTTCCTCTGTTTGGGGTAGGATATTAATAAAGCACCAGGCATTTCTTTAAAATTTGGAGTGCGTCTGCCTGAGAGGCAAGGAACTAACAGTCTGCACACACACACACAAAAAGGTTAGATTTTTAAAAAGGATGCCCACCCAAACCTTCAAACAAAACAAAAGCCCAGATGTGGATGAAGAACCAGAACTTTCTGTTCTGCAAGAGTTTACAGGTGGTGAGTGCTATGGAAAAGAAGACGATCACCCTAAGGAGTTAGAAAACTGAAATAAAACTGTAAACAAATATAATTAAGACGGCTTGAAGCAAAAAAAATAAACATACAACTGATCATTTGCACAAAAAGAAGGCATTCTTTGGGCACATCATGAGTCTGTAAAAACCGGAGTATGCTGTGACAACAAAAGTGAAATGGAAGAGAGGCAAACAAAGACCAGAGTCTATATCCATCTCTCCACTCATCATTTGCTGCCACCATCATGTCACGGGGGCGTTTTCTATATATTGCTGTCAGATAACATATTTTTCTGTTGCCTTTTTAGCACCATATCTACAGCCACATGATGATGATATAAAACAGTAAATCTACATTTGTCTTAATATTTGTTATCTATTTAATTTTGTGCAAACAATATCAGATAGGATAAGTGATATTGAACAGTTGTGAAGCTGTGACATTTTGTGGGAGTCTGAATTATTGTCAGACAAAGGATTTTTCAGTTGTCTTTTTTGCAACAATCTACAGCCACATGATGATGATGATTATGTCAGACAAAGTAAACCCCATTTTTTGTCTTCACATGTGTTCTCGGTTCAATTTTGTGCAAAAATACAAAATATTATATATGTTTGTTGAATATTTTTGAAAAAAAAATCATCATTATCAGTCTTTATTGTTGTCAGATAAATGATTTTCAGTTGCCTTTATTGCAACAATCTACAGCCACATGATGATGATGACTATGTCAGAGTAAACCTTATTGTTTTTTTCTTTAAATGTGTTCTTGGTTTCATTTTGTGCAAAAATACAAAACATTTTTGTTAAATATTTTTTGAAAATAAGACATTTTTATTTGTCTTTTTTGTTGTCAGATAAAAGATTTTCCGGTTGCCTTTTTTGCACCAATCTACAGCCACATGATGATGATGCAAAACAAAATAAAAAACTTTTTTTTCTTGAAATCTGTTCTTCATTCAGTTTGGTGCAAAAATACAAAATTGTGAGATTATATCAAATAGTTGTGAAGCTATGGCATTTTTAGTAAACACTAAAATACGTGGTATCTGGGGAAATGCAAGGGTTAATGGGCTTGGTAGTCAGTGGGTTAACTCATCCATGATCAGAAGCAACAACAAAAAAACTAAACTACACTGCTCACTTGCGTTTCTGATTGTAAAGGGATGTTCTGATGCTGGAGTATGCCGGCAGACATTTTACAAGAGCCTCCCCATTTTCTAAACTGCGAATTCTGGCCACCTCCTGGTCATAAGCTTTCTTCGGACTGAGACTGGGATCCTGTGCCATGCGAGCTTTGATAAGAGAATAAAACTCTCGGATCCGTAACCTGTTGACGTTGCTGGCATGGGTGTGTTTACCCGACACCTGCAGACAGTAAACATTCAGGAATATAAAAGTAATCGATAGAATCAGGGCAAATACCTTCAATGTGGGCATAATTTTCCTCTGTATACTCTGAGAACAAAATAGTCTCCCATGAATTCGGAACACTTTTCCCCATCCCGATCCATCTAGTTTCACATAATCCTAAAATAATAATCCCATGATGTTTCATTTCTCTTAATACTTCCATTGATCTTCCTACACAGTACAAAGTTCTAACATGCTAGGTGCCAATTTTAAAGCTTTTCCTAGGTAAAAGGAGGTAAGTCGATGATCCTGACTCCTATCTGCTTTCTCCAAGCTGTGTCATACTTTTTTCTACTAGAAGAGCCTCCCATCAACTTGGTTGGCTGGGTTTTTCTTGTTTCTCTTATTGAATTGTCCATGGTCAGTTAGTTTTTGTGGCTATTGTTTTTACAGGATGAGGTAGTCAACATCAAGCCCAACCATACCCTTAGTTGCCTCTTACGACATGCCTGGTAGGGTGCAGTGTTGCTATTCTTTCCCAGTGACACATGGGAGAAGGGGAGACTTCCATATTATATATCCCTAGAAAATCTAAACAGAAACTGAAAAGAAGAACTGGTTAGAGAAAGAGAGACTTTCAGGTGTGCCTTAAAGAGAGCGACCTTCTGTAAAGGAAATACTGATTGATTGATACAACTGTAGAAGTTTGATGAGTTAAAACTTCACAAACATACTAGATTATTACTTTATGAGGTGCGGTGGCCAGCTTAATTACCATAAATTATGCTAGTTTGTTATTACATGAAACCAAGTGTGAGAAGACTTCTTAATAAAGTTGAGTAAAAGATAGCCCACTGAAATGAATGCCTGGCTGTGTTAATGGAGACTTACTTACTCTTTAATGGGCATATAAACCCACAGTCAATTATGACTGACAGAGACTATTACTAGTGATTCTGCAGAGAGGGATGGCACGAGACCTTGTGGGACAAAACCTGGAGCAATGATATCTTCTTTTTCATGTCCACTGACTGTAAACTCCGACAGAATCTTCTGACTGTTTGTCCACTTCTTGACTTTGATCTCTGAACTTTAGTTTTTCAGATATAGCTTATTTGTATGCAGATTGTTGGTTCCTCACCTCTTAGGTCAGTGCACTCTAACTTGGAAGGAAACATGCCTAATTAGTTTACTCTTACGACAATCTAGTTTGGAGGCAGTGGGTTTAGTCTGTTTTTCCATCAAAATGGGGCCTCGGAACCCACATGCTGAGCAATTACATTAATCTTCATTTACCATAAAGTATTCATCATGAAAAACATTTCGACACTATGTTATCACCTTGACCAGATCCTGGAGATTCCCATTGTAAACACAACGAAACATGCATGGCTCCACGGTACACTTCCAGTAGTAGCGGCCACCAGATTTCTGATTGGTCAGCCGCAATGTGAACTCATTCACCACTAGAATTCTCTTCCCTGAAAGTTACATTTGTGGGTGACTGAATTAATAAGTGAATGAATTTCAAATTTACATCATTGTACTTGGGATACTTTCACATATGCTTAATTCCCCCTAAAAAGGACTAAAGATAGAATATCAGATCCACGTGTGGATTCTAGGGCCCTATTATAAGGAAAACAAGAACAGATCCACTGCCTACCCAAAAGCATATTGTAAGAGTCGACTAATTGGGAGCTTCCTTTGAAGTCGGACTGCATCTGCCTGAGAGGCAAGGAACCAGCAGTGTGCAGACAAATCAGATCTTTAAAATGGATGCACACGCAACACTCAGGTTCTGGAACAAACAGGACTGCAGTCCAGAAGTAGATGAACAACCAAAACTTTCTGCCAGAGTTTACAGCTAATGAACGTAAAGAAGAAAGAAAAAGAAGAGAAGATGAGAAAGATAGCACAGAATAGACATTCATGTTAATCTGACTACAGTAGCGGCGTCAGTGGCTTAGGCATTTCGAGTCTGACTCGTAATTCCAACGTACCGGGATAGAAACCCACTGCTGGATTTTTATCATGGTATGGGGTGTCGCAGGTCGACCCAGCCTAAAATGGGTACTAGGAGGTATGTCCTAGGGGAAGTAAAGACGGCCGGCGTAATGCTGACCACATTACCCACCTAGTGCTGATTAGTCTTTAAAAAAATGGGTGCTCTTCCCGTATGCCTAAAGGCGCCTAAGGCGTCAAAAGGGATCTTTACTTTTAACTTACTACAGTAGCAGTCTCATTACAGGGACCAATATCATATACATTGCGAGCATTTCAGCAAACACTACATCAGAGCCTGATGGGCGAGATATGGTGATATAAAGAGCATGGAAGACAGTGAGCTGGTAATATTGTGCAACTGATACAATGACATAATTACACACGGATCATCTCCTGTTGACAGACTCCACAGTTACCTTAAACCTCAAACCTAAACCTGGCAAGGACCACACCAGAGTAAATGGCTACAGGATTATACCATGTAAAATACGAAAGGTAAACCCTTTGAAAAGACCACGGCGTACAGACTATTCCGGATCTTGGAGGCTCAGGGGTTAGTTTCCCTCAACCTTGGAGGATATCGACCAGGCTGGGACACCTGGACCAATTCTGCAGTGTTCACTTAAGACACCTATGAGGGCTCCCAGGCTGGAGTTTAACCAGCTGCAGCAGCTACTGATCTTGAGGATGCATACAACAGTGTTCTCTTAGACTAACTCATGACATCTGCTGCTAGACATGAATCTTGACTTCATCAACTGGATCAGAAGCGCTTCTTGAAAGAACAACAGTCTGGAATTTGGTAATCTTAGTTTCAGCATCACTCCATAGTTGCTCTGCTCCTGTGTCAACTAAAAAAAAAAAAACCACAAAGAATGTCCGTCACTGTCCTTTGTGTAAAAACTGAAACAGACTGCAGTCTCAGCATATCCACTAGCATGCGCACACATTAAAAGAAAATGGCAGCCATCAGGAGTGCTAGCACAAACAGTCCAACATAAGAAATTTAGTTTGTCACAGTTCAAAAACATTTAATAAGAAAACTGCAGCTCCCAGTGTCGCACTAAACTCAGTAGTTGGGCAACTAAACTATATCCTTTCAGTCTACAAATGGATGAAATTGCAAGGCCACTGTCTGTCAGAAGCAAAGAATTTGCCACGACTAAAAACAGTAACCATGCCTATCATCCATATTGACCGGTAGTGCTGCAGAGCGAGACATGGATGTCACAGCAGCAGACCATCATGCAACATTTATCTCAGGGGTATCTCAGGGGTCACCTGTTCTATTTAATGTGTACCTAACAGGGGTCACCTGTTCTATTTAATGTGTACATAACAGGGGTCACCTGTTCTATTTAATGTGTACATAACAGTGGTCACAAGCATGCAGAATATATGTGCACTGTGTCCTTTGCTAATGATGTATTGACGTATCACCAGGGTTCAGACAGAGGGGCAATAGTAAAGCACTATAGCAGGAATTTGACAGACTGACCAGATGGTGTGAGCAATCCAGGTTTAGAGTATAAACTCAGGTAAGGCTACAGTGATGATACGGTTCTCACTAAACAACACAGCTGTCGAGATACCTATGCTTATTGTCAATACATGAGAAGATAATACTGAAAAGTCTATTTTGATAGATGTCTGTCCTCCCAATTTCATGCTGGATATAGTCTTCAAAGATGGAAAGGCAGCAACCAACAATAGTTTTACTACACCACAGACAAAATGTATTTTTAACTTTAAACTTCTTTACAAGCAAGTATTATTATGAGGCAGCGGCAGCATTATTTAGACCCCCCCCCCCCCCCACCCCAATGTAAACTTTGCAAAAAAGTCCCTTTTTCATACACTGACACATCAGGTATGCATGCTAGAGGAGTCACTTTTTGTTTTGAACCAATGATCCCTCGATGTGTGATGTGGTCATCATTATACCACAGTATATGCCGATATTGAGTATGACCAGCAAAACCTGCTTGCATTAAGAAATGTCTTCCACAATGAGTATAGTGGACATCAGAGGCTCAGATTTTAACTCACCTGCATTCATTTTTTTTATTTATTCATTTTTCCCTTTTCGATTTTCATTTATATGCAGCATGGTCCATGGCATCTTGTTCCCACAAATCTACCTCAATACCTGTATCCCTCATGCCCTGCTTGCATAAATATTTATATTGTAGCAGAGGCCGACCTTGATATCTGTCATTCACCACAGGTGGTGTCCTTTTTTTAACTCAAACATGGAAAGATATCATTTAATGCAATGAAACAATCTCTAAATACTATTACAAATCAAACTAAAGAGGAACATTTACCTCTCTTTGAAGGAATAAAGTAAAAACTGAGATCAGGAAAACTTGTGGAATGTATAGGAGTTGGACCAGGAGACAAAAGCAAACTGTTTAATCTGGTTTCTTCCTCTTGAGGCAGCGGCGCAGACTCTTCAAGAAATTTCTTCTCAGTTTCTGTAATTTCTCTTTTGATAGGCTGTGGGAATGATGTACCAAAAAATGGATGTTATCTGGTGTCCAAGTGAAACAATGCTCAATTTTATGGCTGGAAGATATACATTGAAGAGATATCACACTAAAGTTATTCTGGCAGTATGATGCTGGGTCTGTTTAAGTTAGTCAAGTAATCCGCATCATTCACAAATAACTCCTGTCTGGTCTGCCACTGTTTTAACTTATATGGCAGGTTGATACATTCCTTACCTTTAAGTCTAAGGTAACTTAATTTCACGACAACCATTAACACATACACACTATGGGTCTATGGCAATGACATTAACAAAAATATTCATTTTTATATTTCATGGGCATTTCAGGGGAATGGAACAGATTCGGAAATGGTTCAATTAATCTGGAAAGTTTTGAAGGTGAAAAGACAAATTTCACTGCTGCAGATTTTCAAGGGTCAGCCTCTCTCGGCAGAGCACTGGCCACCTAATAAAATGCTGCACACAGCATGAAAATTGTGGCCTCATACACTTCATACACTACTGGACTTTAGTCTTGTTCCAGAACTTGAGTTTTCTGTGCACATCCTTTTTACAGATCTGGCTTATTTGTATGCAGACTGCTGGTTTTTCACCTTGCAGGCAAATGCGCTTTAACTTTCCCCATTTAGCCACTTTTTCCGACATGCTTGTTTGAGGGGAAGGGGGAGAAGGCAATGGGTCTATTTCCTGCCCTCCCCCCCCCCCCTTTTTTTTCCCCAAATGGTGCCCAGAACCCACATGGAAAGATCTCCAATAAACAGCACTAAAATACCAAAAAGACATGACCAAAAATGAACCTATAATCTAGAAGGCAAGGCAAATTACTTCCGTTTTTCTTTTCCCTTCCATTTACTTGTATGTATGTTCTGGGAAGATTCAGGTAATGCACAAAATTGATTTTCAACAATTGAAACAAAACATGACAAAATAATGCCTTGAACATAAAACAATCAAAGAAATCTGCCTTATTTAGAGAAGACCTTACAGTTCAGTGTTAATAGTATATGAAACCGCATCAGCATGTCTCTTTACACAAAATTACTGCCATCACAGCCTACCTGAAACTCAAGTTTCTTATCAGCTCTCCCACCTCATGCTCTTTCCTGCCCAAGATCTCTCTCTCATTTGCTGTGCCCATCTTCACGTTGGTTGACCCCTGCCCCTCTTGGCCGGTACCGTGCCCTCTGCTACTATGATAGATCAGTATGCAATTGAAAACCAGATAAAAAAACTTTAGCTGAAAAGGAAGTCACACATCCTTGAACTTTTTCACCCATCTCCAACATACAGTGTGTTATCAGCTACAATAACTGTGTATCAAACAATGAACGGTGTGTAATTATGTATTTTACATTTGGTTTGAGCATGCTAAAGAAATCTGGCTAGATATGCTAGCATACAGCACAGTGTGTGATGTCTCTTTGAAAGTTTTCCAGTACTGAAAAAAGTCAACAACAAAAAATATCAAGTTAATTTGTTTGCCTGTCTAATTTTTACCTCTACAACCTGGTCTTCTGTAGTATCTTCATCTGGCTCCTCTTCATCGTCAGTTTTTGAGGCATCGTGTTGTGCCTTGTAAATGTGGTGCTTAACAGATGAAAAGGGAGGAACCTTCCATATGACTCCAAGTCCATCTAGCTGCAGAACGAACGAACAAACAAACTTTATTTTCAAAGGGTTAATAAGAAATTGGGCATGCAGGTCCGTCTAACATTCTGCCCTTCCACTCCGCTCATTGCATACAATTATTCATTTGTACCTCATTTCATAGTTAATAATAATAAGAAGAAGAATAAGCAGAAGAAAAAAAAAGTTTACAACATCCAACATCTAAGTCTTAATTACAAATACTGACATTACTGAACGTTTTAAAAAGTATAGTAATAAGCCTATTCCAAAAATGATACAAGTGGAATAAAAGCTAGTTACAACGAATCTGACAGAACAAAAACTAAACTTACAACACTTCAGACAGAACAAAAACTAGAGTTACAACAAATAAGACAAAACAAAAAAAATAGTTACAACAAAATGACAGAACAAAAACTAGACTTAAAACAAATCAGACATAAAGAAGTGACATAGCTATAAAAAAAATTAGATCTTAAAGAGAAAGCATACATATTGTCTTTCTTCTCAGAGCAAAACACAGACACAAAGTACTTGGGACAATCTCATAAGCACTCCATTCTCACCATCACTAGCCAGTGCTGAGTTCCAATGCCGATTGTACCAATACCAGTCTTATTGTATGTCCGTCACCTTTTCCCTCAGTGTTGAGTGTTGGCCAGATCCTCTAATCACTTCCCCCATCACCATTCTCTCCAGGCCATGATAATTTATTGGTGCCTCTGAAATGTTCACTTGCTCCAAGTGTCTTGTCAACATCTAGCTTGTCATGCATCAATTTACCAGCTAGTGGTGCAGAACTAAACTTTTTTTCTTAGCATTCACTGTAAACATCAGTGAAAAATGATGGTTGTTCATCATTAATGCAGAAGAAGACGCAGACAACACAATCACACAGCTGATTCAACAACACACCTCCTGATGAACTTTCTGCACTTCTTTCTCATAGATTTGCTTGGCAGGAAGGTGAGGGTTTTCCGTGATCTGGGACTTGACATTGTTGATAAACTGCCGCCGCAACATCTGATTGGAGTCTGGAGGGTGACTGTGTAGGCCAGCTGTCTTTGTTACCTTGTCTACTATAGGATCATACACAGCCCTGCAGAATTTCAGATTAATCCAACAGCCAGTTACAACGAAGAAGCAGCAACGAAATTCATAATCTGTTTAGTTTGAACAACAGGTCAATATCATTGCAAGGGTAGCAACCCATAAGTGCTTCGTTCTACTTCTAACTCAAGCCTGAGTCCAAAGAATCTCAGCGCAGTGCATTAACTCTGTAGCACCGGCGAGGATCCTGAAAATACTTTGGGGTAGATTTCTAACATCAAATTTTGCCTGGGCAGCGCTGTTAGGCTACTCTTTTCAATTCCCAACAGCCAAGGGATTTTTTTAATGTGCGCAACAATACACACCAGCGTTTGATCTTACCAAAAGACCAGGGGAAATTACTAGAAGTCCACATGAAAAAATCAAAGCCTTCACTGGGGCCTGAACCTGGGATCTCAAGCACTCGAGGCGGACGCCATACCTCAGGACCATGAAGCTCGTTTAAATCACCACTAATTACTGGTATCATGAGGACTGCAATGTTTGGAGCATACAGAGAGAACCGCAGCTAGCAAAGAAAAAAAAAATGTGTAAAGAAAAGAGCTGAATGGGAGGGATACGATAGTCATGTCTGTAAATAATCACTTTCACTACAAGTTTCCATAAATTTATATGAGCCCCAGCATCCCCCACAGATCATAAAAGCAAGATTTCTTTTTCATCTTTGTGTTCACCAGCTGTTAACTCCAGCGGAAAGTCCTGGTTTTCCACCCACTTCTGGACTGCTGTTTCATACAAGGATGTGAGAGGGAGTGTTGCATGCACATCCATTTCACAGATCTGGCTTATTTGTATGCAGACTGTCAGTACCTGGCCTCTCCTGTAGATAAACTCCAACCTCAAAGGAAATACTGATCCTATCTACATGGCCAGAGAAGAGGTGCAGAAAGGTCTGGACCAGTATGGGCCCGGCTCCTCCTGGTACATGCACCATGTGTGGTTCAGCAATTTTGCATCCCAGGAAGATATAAATATGTTTCCCCCTGCTTAAGTGGAGTGTTAAAGAGAGATCATTTGTATGCTTTTTCTAATGCTTTGTAAGCTGATCTTCACTTCTCTAAGGTTGTTCTTGATGTCACTAGTCCATCTCTTGCATTGCCTTTTGTTCTTGTTCTGTGCTCATTATTATTTTGTAAATGTGGCTCTCTATAGAAGATGGTATCTGGGTATTCCTTCCGAACTACATGTGCTACAAATATTCTTTTAATATTAAACATTTTTTTTTTAATTTGATCTTGGTAGCGGACTATAAATCTTTTCCTTATGATTTTCAAATACAAAGTGATTTTTAAAATCCATAGCTTGCCTACAGGAAGTTGCAGTGGCATAGCAGCTAGGTGTTTGTGACTGCCTCTACCTTCATTCTCAAACTAGATATTGTGACATCATATACCAGACTTAGTTGCACTAAGCGACATCCATTTGCTTTTGCTATGATCTCTCATGCACTTCCTTTGCCCCTCAATACAGTGCCATCTGTATCACCTGGGCAGGAATTGTCATGAATTATCTGTTGAATTATGGAAATGTCACAGGTGATTTAATGTCGGTTATTAACTCGTCTTGTCTGTAATATTGTAATGAGCTCACCTGAAGAAGCAACCCTTTTTCTGACACCGCCAGTATGACATCCCAGAAGTTCTGGTGGTATTCTGATAAAGTACACAGCCATCGATAACCAAAACATGAGAGCCACGGCTTGAGGGCAAGAAATAGAAGGTAATATCTTTGGAAACCCGCCTACCACTGGACTTCCACGGAGGTGAATTTTTCCATTCCTCATCATGTTCTTCCTCATTGTGTTCTTCCTCATCACGTTCTTCATCATCACGTTCTTCCTCATCTACCTCATCCTGGAGATTGAAAAAATAAAAATAAATTTAATTACCAATTATTGAATGGTGTATTCCAAATATCCTGAAAACTGAACATACAAAGAGTATGCCAGCATTACAGAAAGAGAACAATATTACATATTATATTTTTTTTAATGAGGAGTTTGTGTTGACAAGCTAAATTTTTGTTTTCCAAATATCCTGAAAACTGAACATACAAAGAATATGCCAGCATTACAGAAAGAGAACAATATTACATATTATATTTTTTTAAATGAGGAGTTTGTGTTGACAAGCTAAATTGTTGTTTTCCAAATATCCTGAAAACTGAACATACAAAGAATATGCCAGCATTACAGAAAGAGAACAATATTACATATTATATTTTTTTAAATGAGGAGTTTGTGTTGACAAGCTAAATTTTTGTTTTCCAAATATCCAGAAAACTGAACATACAAAGAATATGCCAGCATTACAGAAAGAGAACAATATTACATATTATATTTTTTTAAATGAGGAGTTTGTGTTGACAAGCTAAATTTTTGTTTTCCAAATATCCAGAAAACTGAACATACAAAGAATATGCCAGCATTACAGAAAGAGAACAATATTACATATTATATTTTTTTAAATGAAGAGTTTGTGTTGACAAGCTAAATTTTTGTTTTCCAAATATCCAGAAAACTGAACATACAAAGAATATGCCAGCATTACAGAAAGAGAACAATATTACATATTATATTTTTTTAAATGAGGAGTTTGTGTTGACAAGCTAAATTTTTGTTTTCCAAATATCCTGAAAACTGAACATACAAAGAATATGCCAGCATTACAGAAAGAGAACAATATTACATATTATATTTTTTTAAATGAGGAGTTTGTGTTGACAAGCTAAATTTTTGTTTTCCAAATATCCAGAAAACTGAACATACAAAGAATATGCCAGCATTACAGAAAGAGAACAATATTACATATTATATTTTTTTTAATGAGGAGTTTGTGTTGACAAGCTAAATTTTTGTTTTCCAAATATCCTGAAAACTGAACATACAAAGAATATGCCAGCATTACAGAAAGAGAACAATATTACATATTATATTTTTTTAAATGAGGAGTTTGTGTTGACAAGCTAAATTGTTGTTTTCCAAATATCCAGAAAACTGAACATACAAAGAATATGCCAGCATTACAGAAAGAGAACAATATTACATATTATATTTTTTTAAATGAGGAGTTTGTGTTGACAAGCTAAATTGTTGTTTTCCAAATATCCAGAAAACTGAACATACAAAGAATATGCCAGCATTACAGAAAGAGAACAATATTACATATTATATTTTTTTAAATGAGGAGTTTGTGTTGACAAGCTAAATTGTTGTTTTCCAAATATCCAGAAAACTGAACATACAAAGAATATGCCAGCATTACAGAAAGAGAACAATATTACATATTATATTTTTTTTAAATGAGGAGTTTGTGTTGACAAGCTAAATTGTTGTTTTCCAAATATCCAGAAAACTGAACATACAAAGAATATGCCAGCATTACAGAAAGAGAACAATATTACATATTATATTTTTTTAAATGAGGAGTTTGTGTTGACAAGCTAAATTGTTGTTTTCCAAATATCCAGAAAACTGAACATACAAAGAATATGCCAGCATTACAGAAAGAGAACAATATTACATATTATATTTTTTTAAATGAGGAGTTTGTGTTGACAAGCTAAATTGTTGTTTTCCAATATCCAGAAAACTGAACATACAAAGAATATGCCAGCATTACAGAAAGAGAACAATATTACATATTATATTTTTTTAAATGAGGAGTTTGTGTTGACAAGCTAAATTGTTGTTTTCCAAATATCCAGAAAACTGAACATACAAAGAATATGCCAGCATTACAGAAAGAGAACAATATTACATATTATATTTTTTTAAATGAGGAGTTTGTGTTGACAAGCTAAATTGTTGTTTTCCAAATATCCAGAAAACTGAACATACAAAGAATATGCCAGCATTACAGAAAGAGAACAATATTACATATTATATTTTTTTTAAATGAGGAGTTTGTGTTGACAAGCTAAATTGTTGTTTTCCAAATATCCAGAAAACTGAACATACAAAGAATATGCCAGCATTACAGAAAGAGAACAATATTACATATTATATTTTTTTAAATGAGGAGTTTGTGTTGACAAGCTAAATTGTTGTTTTCCAAATATCCAGAAAACTGAACATACAAAGAATATGCCAGCATTACAGAAAGAGAACAATATTACATATTATATTTTTTTAAATGAGGAGTTTGTGTTGACAAGCTAAATTGTTGTTTTCCAAATATCCAGAAAACTGAACATACAAAGAATATGCCAGCATTACAGAAAGAGAACAATATTACATATTATATTTTTTTAAATGAGGAGTTTGTGTTGACAAGCTAAATTGTTGTTTACTGCATTGTGTTCTATAAAGCTGACAAACAATTTATGTCAAACAATGTTTCCTGTAGTGAGTTAAAATAATGCGGACACAAACAATACACTGCGTAATTTGTGGGCATTATTACATGTTAAAGTAACTCTGTAGTAACTCATCTGATGAGATGCAGTGAAATATACCTGGCAATCCCCCGTGTAGGTTCCGGGGCCCCATTGTGGGGAAAACAAGAATAGACCCACTGCCTCCCCAAAAGCATGTCGTAAGAGTCGACTAATTGGGGAGCTTCCTTTGAAGTCGGAGTGCATCTGCCGGAGAGGCAAGGAACCAACAGTCTGTATTCAAGAGAATGAGATCTGTAAAACTGATGCACACGCAACACTCAGGTTCTGGAGCAGGACTGCAGTTCAGTAGTGGACAAGCAACCAGAACCTTCCGCCAGAGTTTACAGCTGGTGAACGCGAAGAAGAAGAAGATACCTGGCAATAAATTGTGCAATGTTTTGTTTGTGTCCATATTATTAAAATATTATTGACCCCCCCCCCCCCCCCCCCCCCCCACCCCATCTTTTTCTTTCTCCATTCTCGTGGCTTTACTGCAGTCAATTCATATCCGTATAAACAATCTTAAAGGTTTGCCCCCTGCATTAGGTTTCCGCCCCTCCACACCTCACCAACTGGGGCCCAGAAACCCACATTGGGGGGGGGGGGGGGAGCAGCCTTGGACACAATGACTAAATTGGTTTGGCCACCTGGTCAGAATGAACCCAGCGTCACTGGTCGCAAGAGCATACACGATGAGAATGGAATCATCAAGAGGCAGAGGAAGGACAAGAAGATGAACTGATGGAGTGAGTTAAACAACTTGCTGAAACTCAACAATATCACCAGGCAGCAAGCTAACGAGCGAGCACGCACTATCCCGGAGACGGATCATTAGCCATGCCTGCGAATCTAACAACATTTAGCAGAAAAAAAAGACCCATTGCTTCAAAAGTTTGATTATGGACTCAATCTGACAATTTAACAGCTGAGAAACTCTAAACAATTAAAACTGAGAAACAATTTTTAAAACAAAAACTACATGATAGTATCATGATAATGAGCTCACTTAAAGAAATAGCTTTTCTTCTGACACTGCCAAAACGATATTCGACTCATTCTGATGGCTTCGTGACAGAGACAACTTTTAACAAACAGAAATAAAAGCCACCCCCGGGGTCCTAATGGAGCAATGATGCGCAATACAAGACTCTTAATGTCTATTAGCCTCTCTTGCTCAAGCCTACCTCACCTTCACGTGGTGGACCCTGTTCTTCCCAGCAATCCAGTTGAAGGTTGGGGTCTCAACCCCTAGCGGGAAACTGGATGGGACAACAAACGAGGTAAAGGCGAAAGACGAATGGATGAGCCTACTTTCCTCGAGTATGATCACAGTCTACCCTAGCAAAACAAGGTGCTGAAGTCGGAGGCAACCAGCCAAGAGGCGCACCACAGCAATCAGGATGCCACGCATACACGCCATGGAAAGGCGAACGAAAGAAGAAAAAGAAAGCCACCCCCAACTCCAAACAGGCATGTTGGAAAAGATGACAAATTAAAGGTTAACTGAAATTGAATGTGTTGGGCCTTAAGGCACAGATATCACAGCCTAGCTACAAACCACAACAAAATATGCCAACCCCCTTTTTAGGGTGAATGCAGAAGAAAAATAAACTTCCATCCTGCACCAATATGGCCTACAATTAGCTTATGAAATGACTTTATTTTATTGCAACAATGGAATTACTTTCACTTCAAAGTCTGAAAGAAAACTCAAATTTAAGTCCAAATGCTCGACTGAAAATCCACTGTACATTGTGTTCACTGCTATAATAAGTTATCAATATGGTTAGCTGATTTGCAACAACAAGAATTCAACACTGATGTGACAAGAAATCATTGTTTACACCTGCTGGATTTCTACTCAGCATTTCAATAAGATGATCAGAAATCTATGCTCACAAGGTGGTTACATTCAACAAGTATTACATCACTTATTATCATCATCATGTAGCAGGTCCTTTGCAGAACGTCGCTCTCATCACGGTCTGCCTGAAAGAAACTCGGTCTCTTGCCAGCTCTCCCGCCTCATGTACTTTCATACTCAAGCAGTCACACTACAATCACTACAAGTCACAATTGCAAGGTGTTGTAATTCATCAATAACAACACAATATATCCCCACATTTATCTGAGATGGGTGAATAAAGTCTTTTCCGATAAGACCCTTTTCTTAACCCCTTTATACATAAAATATTTCTATCTGTGTGTGGTCTCTATAAATCGTGAGCCAACTTCTTCTGCTGGATACAGAAAGCTGCATTATAACTATTTCAGTAGCAAACAACTTACTATATATTCATTGTTATGCCAAACATTGTGACACAATGTTCTGGCACTCCTCTGGATAAAGGTCACAAATTATCAAGGTTAAAAACAAACCCTAACAGGGCCTCACTAGGTCACCTAATAGAAATATTAAAAGTTAGGGTTAGGGTTAACCCTAACACCGCCATGAGAATCTGTCACAACAGTCCAA